TCTTGTTCGTCAATTCTGTTAGCCCTTTCCAAGGGCTCTTTCTCAATGCCTTCTTGCAACCATCAAGTCGTCGGGTGACTTGCTGGAAGCATTCTGTGCGTTCCTCAGGCGTCTTTCGGCGCAAGAGATCGAAATGCAATAGAGCACGGAGGAAATAACCGCGTTGCCAGACCCACTCCGGACCCTGATGGTAATTGCGACCCTTGGCAGTCGCAAAGTCATCCGAGTCGTCGGAGTTAATGTAGTATGGACGGTAGTTGAGATCGGACGGGTCCAGTGTCGCCATGCCCACAGGCCCCACAATTGCGGAGTCGGCAATTGACAGAGCGACGAGAGCCTTTGCAGGTGTGAATAGCTCCGGAGCAACCGACATTGCGATGGCGAAGTTGGCACGGAGCTGGTAGTCTTCGTAGGGCTTGCCAGACTTGTACAGGTCCTTGTAGATTCCTCGGCGGTTGACGACGTCTGCGTCCACGTCGTAGTGACTGTCTTCGCTGGGATCGAGGGGGACAAAGTAGCACCGCTCGAAGTTGTCCTTCATTTTCTGGGCCCATTCGGCAAAAGTAATCTTCTTGCCATCGCCGATATCCACGCCGTCATGGGGATAGACCTTGGATTCGTGGAGACGTGCAACCCACGCTAGAGCGCTGTACGCGAGACCCGTAATCTCGATAGCAGCACCGTCACGGGGAGTTCCAGGGAAACCCTTATTCCCGGCCTTAGTGCTCTCTCCCATCTTGTCTTGCCAAGTGCCACAGTTATTCTGGTTGCCACCGAAAATTAGACCCGTTTCCCAGTCGACCTTAACGTCGATCTGGAAGCCTTCGGGCTTCATCTGGCAATCAAGGTCAGGACCAGCATTATATTCTCTGAAAGACATGCCAGAAGCGTGTCTTTGAAACACCTCCTGGACGCATTCGAGAAGACTTGGAGACTGGGAGTATGCCCGAGAATCATCGAAGGGGAACCAAGTGTCGTCATAAGGCAAGAATCGTCTTGGGACCTTCTCTTGCAAGATATCAATACCGTTTGGCGCCATTTCAATAAAATCCTGTATAGCTTGCATGAAAAACCAGACGGAGTCCCGAGAATTGTATCTCGGCAATTTTCCGCTGCTCAGCAGATTGGGGATCATGCCATGCTTGAGCACACTCGCAAAAGCGATAATATGCTCCTTAGCGTCATCAAAGCGTTGAGTGCAAAGGAATAAACCACGGATAGAGATAAAAATATCTCTTCCCCAGCATCTCGTCCAGTCAACTGCAAAATGAGGCAGTCCAGCCGCAAGACTGGGGACCATCTTGGTGGGCCACAAGGATGCGGATTTCACATAGCCAGTTTGTTGAACGCTGACCATGGCCAGTTGATGAATGAATTCCTGGCCGTGCCGCACATTGTCTCCAAGGAGATGAATACCTCTCTTCCACGCAGCATTGTATGCAACCTGCACAATGATTGCGAAATACCTTGGGAAAAGGAAGTTGGGCAAGTTGCGGACAGTTTCAAACTTTCCACGAAGCCATGCGGCAGGCCTTTTCAAGGCAACATATCCTTCCTTGGAAGACGCCTTCTCCATGCGACCAATGATGTATTCCCAAGCCCACTGACCCTCTCGCAAGTGATCGCAGAGTGGGTGGCCAAGTTGGTTATACTTGATGATATCCTCAAGGACACTCCACCAGCCCTGAAGACCAGCATAGACCATAGGACCGTGCTTTGGAATGCTGTAAATGCCATCCTGACCGTCGCTAGAGTCCCTCTCTTCAGCTTCGCACCGGTATAGCACAAAGTTCAGATCAATCAAGCTGAGCTCAGAGAATGCGTCGTCTGCGCCATTGGCGAGGTTGTTTTCAAATCCATCGGCATGATCTGCGCCGGGAATCCATGTTTCAAAAAGAGCAATAGACCCAGGAACAAGGGACTCCAGTACGGAGATTTTGACATCTTTGTCGTTTTGCTCGATTCTGGTGCCTTCTATGTCGCGGGTGTGGCTGGGAAGACCCTTCAAGTACTTGTCGTCGGCTAGGACTTTCGTCTTTGCTTCACCGCTGTCATCAACCTCAAGCTGCCATGATCCGATATGCTTGGCACTGGTACCGGCAATATGAGTGGGGGCGAGAATCGCGCCACTTTCATGGCCGGGGAACGCGGTATGTGCGATCAAGAAGATACCTTTTCTGGTCTTAGGGTGGACTCTGTGGACAGTGATGAACTCACCATCGTGATGGATGTGAGTTTCGTCATAGCCTTCAACTCCCATCATAGTGTGGAGTTCATTTAGAAGCTTCTTGACACCACCAATCCCACCCTCTCCAGACCCGACAACTAGACTCTCGGAATCAGAGGAGTGAGAGACGTATTGTCGGGTCTCGTGGACAAGGTCGATGAGTTTGGGATACAGCTCGTCGTAGCCCATCACACTTCCAGTCGCGGAGGCACACATCGCCACGAGGGCAGCATTTGGAAGAGTGTCTCTGGCGTGGCGCTTCTGAGCAGGTAGCTCATTGTCATGGGTACAGTCCATGAACAAGGCCGGAACTGGACAGGGTCGAATGTGAGTGATATTTTCATGAGTATTGCCAGATCTAGCTGACGCAATGGCATGACTACTGCCAGCAGAAGGTAAATCCATCTCGAAGCTACCGATCGGCTGACCAGCATGACGGTGAACAAGGCGACTCAGCTCTTCTGTGCTCCAAGCCTGCATAGCCTCCCGAATCAGAGCATTTATGCCCAGGCGTTTGACGAAGACATAGTCGGCCTCCTCCGAGCCGGTGAAGAGTTCCGCAAACACTGTCAAGTCAGGCCGGACTTTGCGAGCTTCATCCAGCAAATATTCTGCAACCACTAGCGGCGTCGAATGGCAATTGTCAATTCGGAAACCACTGAAGTACTTGGCCATAAGGCGGGTATAGCGCGTCATGAAGTCCCAGAGGAAAGGACTATCTTCGGGAGAGGATCCATATCGAAGCTTAACGCAATCACCCCAGACAATAACTTCGCGGCGTAGGTAGGCCCTGGAATCAGGTCCGGCATTATCTTTCATGGCATCGGCATTCCAGATCCATCCGTTATTGACCAAAGCCAGGGCTTTGGGGTCATGCTTCTTAGTGACATCATTGAGAGGAAGGCGGGTAAAGTATGTCTCAATCAAGGGGTTTTCCTTGGTGACAGGACCCATCTTGGGGCCATGATCCTCAATTCTGAGATACTTGATGCGATTGAACAGTTGGTCCATAATAACATCAACGTCTGCATCATACTCCTTGTAGAATGGCAAGTTGGCCTCATCGAGGAGCTTGCACAAGTACTCTTCAACCTCGGCGAGCTTGGTGTATCCCTCATCGTGATCCCCAAAAAGAACATTTAAAGCAACTGCTCCAAACTTTGGGTCGACAGCGCGGTCAAAACGTCCGAGAACCTGCTTGACGGATGGAATTCCAATCTCGCGGAGAACGTTGGCTTGTTGCGTGAGCGACCAATTTTTGAACTGCTGCATCTCATCCCGTTCGACGAGCGCAGGATCGACAGTTGCATTGATCCATAGGTTCAAAATCTTCTTAACGTCGCTCTTTACGTCGAGAACATAAAATTCCCATAGACGAGTTCCATCAATGGCTTCCTTGCGCGCCGCGTTCATGACGGTCACTAGATCTTCCTCCGTTTTGAACTCCGTCGGAAGACCGATGTCTTGGAGGGTATCGCTGAATTTTAAAAGTGCCGAATCCAGCTCGAGGGCTGCCTCCAGCCATGGCGCGGTCTCCACGCTGTATCCAGACTCGGGATGCTCCTCCAGCCACTTGCTATTATTAGCTGTGTGGTTCCAGACCACATCAGTCAATGTGAGAAGGCCATAATCTTTCTCCATCTTCGCGACCAATGAAGCGATATCATCTTCCCCATTAGGGAAGAACGTGCTGTCGAATGCCAATTGATCAAAAATACTATAGGGCGAGTTGGACGAGCCACGCTGCATGAGGGGTGTGAAATGAACCATGTTATAGTTCCGCTGACCAATTCCACGAAGGTGTCTGTCCCAGTCTGTGGGATTTTGGCCCATGAACTTTGAGATCACTGAGAAAATAGAGAGTGCATTGAGCGGCAGGTCTTTCCCCTGAAGGGTAAGTTTGGGCGACACATCAATGTAGTGAATAGGCGTCTGAGTCGGCTTCGGGGCAGGCACCTCCTCCACTGAGAACTCCGGCAGCGGAGAGAATGTTGTGTAGAAAGCAAACGCTCCGGCGAATGTCACAGTAATATCGATCTGAATGTTCTCATTGAAGTTGGGCTGCAGTCTACTTCTGTTCAGCAACCGCCACTCTCAATTTACACAACATATAAGAAAGAACTGGGAAGATCTACCTGAACTCCCGGAATGAGTGACGTTCAAAGGGCTTTCCCTCCTCGGGAATATTCACCCAGAGACTTCCTTGTCGGCAGATGGAGCTCGTTCCCTCGATGATGAATCGAAGCACGTATCCAGATTTCGGCGGAGGTGCCAGGTAGACGTACCCACCGGGCACGTCTGGAGAACCATCATCCTTCAATGGTAGCAAGTAGACCTGACGTGGGGAGGCCATTGCGACGGGTCGATAACGATTGAATGAATCCGGATCTAAATTAACAGGTCGTGAGAGTATAGGAGAATCTGGAACGATTCACCCTACTTCCACTGCGATAGGACAGAGAGGCAGACTTCAGACAATATTTAAGGAGGGAAAAAAAAAGAGAATTGAAAAAGCAGGGAAGGAAAAGTCGGGCACAGAGGACCCTTCCCCTCAGATGTTCCTGGAGAGAGCCCAGACCGCGCGGGGAATGACATCATGCATTTTCCTTGGTATTTTTTAGTTGTCAACACGTGCATCCAGTCGTTTCTTGTCTGGACGAATTGAACAGTCTTAGATTCAATCAAATATCTAGAATATAATCCGCATGCCGTTCATAAATACAGGTCTGGAAAGTCTATACACGCAATGTCCAATACCCAATCCTAGCCCTAATCATAATCGTGCAGAACTGAACCGAGCGCCATTATTCTCCTTGAAATTTTGTGATGCAGAAATCGGGGCTCGGGCCTGAGGGGGGCTATAAGGGAACCAAACGTTTTGATAAGTAACACAAACATAGAAGCAAAGGACGTTAGGATTTCTTTTTACCGCTCAATGTAAGAAGGAATATCCTCGACCTTCATGGTTCCCTCCAAAATACCTGTGCAACGTTAGCTTGGATCGAGCAGTCACATACAACAGGGGGTAAATCTCACGGAAAACAGCAGTGAACAGAGGGAACTCAGCCTCCATGCCCTGATTCTTCAGGAAGCTGTTAACTTCCATAGCAGTCAGGGTACCCTGCAACTTCTGGCCGTTGAGCTCAGTCTTCTCGATCTCCTCGATAGGCTGGTTGCGCTCAACGCTCAACTTGGCACACCGGAAGTTACGACCGCTGCTGGAGCTGGTGATCAAGTCTGCCACACCGGCACTCTCGTCGGTGAAGGTGCGGGTGTCAATCGTGGCGCTGAAGAATGCGTCTCCGAACTTGACCATCTCCATCAAACCCACACGCATGATAGCGGCCTTGGCGTTATCACCCCATCCCAAGCCGACAACATAGCCAGCGGCCAGAGCAACAATGTTCTTAAGAGCGCCACTGATAGAGACACCGGCGACATCGCTAACAACACGCACGTGGAAGTAAGGACGGTGGAAGAGGGTCTTCAGCACGGAGTGGTCGACAGGAGGGTACTCTGACGGCAAGGCCTGCAACTTGACATCCGAGATTTTACCCGAGGTGTCCTTGTGCTGGAACTCGACCAAGTTGGTTGTGGAGGAAGAAGGCGACCGCTGGGGAGTGGGGACCTGGGAGTCCATGTGTGGGGGATCGTAGGCGATGCTAGTCTCGCACCATTTCTCTTGGGCGACTTCATTGGCGATGTTTGCACCAGACAGGGCACCGCAATAGATGCCTAGAGTTTGACCAATGGTCTCAGAGAAGAGGTGGATACCTGTACTATTGACGTCCACGCCCTTGATGCAAGAGATGCCACGGGCGTAAGGGAGGATCTTGCCCTTGAGTTGTTCGCAAGTCTTAATGATAAACTGATGGGGCAAGTTGAAGATGAGAATTGTGCTGTCCTTCACCGCATCCTCGAGAGACGGGTTTGCGTGCAGGTTGACTGGCAACTGAATTCCTGGGAGGTACTTGACATTCTCATGGACATTGTTAATCACCTCCGTCAATTTCTGAGGGCCGGCAAGTGCGTCATTGTAGTTCTTAGAAGTCTTTGGAATCTCGACATTCTCCTCAAATACCCACATTTCTACCTTCTCCTCGAAGAGTTCGGGGTGGCTGGACGAATTTTCGGCAATGATCTTAGCGATGGCGCAGCCCCTATCGAGTAAGCACACAATTAGCACAAATCCACAGTCCTTTTAGAAACTGATCTCTTACCAGTTACCGGAGCCCACCACCGTGACCTTGTGCTTGCGCTGATAAGGAGCGATAGAACCCATGGTGTGTGTAGAAGAGACAATTGACCTGCTGGAAAGTGGTCCGGAGAACGTGGGTTTAAAAGGTAAAGGAGAAGTCGGCGGGGGCAAACGGGGTGGAATAGTGAACCGGGTCTGGAACCCGGTGGCTGACCGAGGTCGAGATACGGTGATAGAGGTGAAAGGAACGCAGATCCGACGTAGGTTGAGACGTATATCCATAAAAGTTATCGTGTTGGGACTCCAATGCCTTTTCGGGATTGCCTTACCACGTCTGATGTCACCGGAAAGCCGTCGAAATTCGGAGAGGCAATTTAGCGCACGATAACTTGATAACGTCAGTCCTTTCTTTTTTTTCTTTTTGCCCTTGACACATACATGGACTAATTGACTGGAAGAGCCAAACAGCGTTGAGTTCCTGGAAAAAACAGTGGGGGGAGTGGATGCAGGCGGTGAACAATTGGAGTCGACGGGGTTTCGCTTTTCCCGTAGTAATTTCGTCTTCTGTTGCTCCCCGCTGTAGATCTCACATGCGAACATGGTAAGCTGCATTATTACATATCTTGTTCCACTTTCAGCCGGTTAATTATCGTTATACCTTCATAGGCCCCTATCCGCAAACCAACAATGACGAAATCTGCCTCGGGCAGAGGCGCGATAGCCAAAGCCAGTGTCTTTGGTGACGAATTTCGCACGAGTAAGAGGGATAAGCGTCAGATCAAGCATGCTGCCCTCGTTTCTAAGATTGAGAAAAATTCTCAGAAGGCTCCTAAACGTCGACGAGCGTCAAAAAAACTTGTCACCAACCTCGAATCTTTAGCCGATGCCTTGCCCGAGGCTGAAGAATCCCACGATGCCGCCAGTCAAGTGAATGTGATCAAGCAGAAGACCCTGAGACACAAGCCAGGTGCCTTGAAGCGCCGGGAAAAACTTGAGAAATTGGAGCGAGACCGCTTCAACAAGAACCTGGTTGAGATGTCCAACATTACATCAGCCCCAGCTGCCAACAATGGCGAGGCGAGCACCGAGTCGAACCCGACGGCCGGTCGGTGGTCAGCCCTCCGTAACTTCATCTCACAGACGATGGAACAGCAGCCTGTGTTCAAGGCGAATAAATAAGGATGGCCAGGATAAAAACCAAAACTTTCTCGGTCGGTGGCCGAGCCACTGTGGTTGCTGTTAGCCGTGAATATCTGTCTAACAAGTGAACTTCGGCAGTGACGTGAAAAGAGTACATCCGAAGCTCTTCCTAAAACTTGAGTTTAGGCGAACACAGTGGATGCGCACTGCGCTCAACCAAAGCACGATCGGACCACTTGCTTCCATTCGATCTGAACTGTGAAATCTACACCGGGTACGCAGGTCTCGAGGTTCAAACATTCCTACATTCCTAGGGAACACAACGCCTTCTGGGCCCACGGACGCCATCGAGCAACCTTTGACATTAGAGACCAATAACCAAATACCCATCATTGCCATGAAAACTCTATCTCACTATTTTACAGTCTTTCCACACGTAGGAATCAGAACCGAATTTGCAACAGCTCAAATATTGAAACATAAACTTCTAGCCAGGCTTATTTTCTCGAGCGCAATTCTGCATAATACCAATCCTCGCTGCTCAACCCTCCCGGGAGATGAATAGTCTCCTCTCAGATCCCATTTGCTTTACTGAAATGGGTGCCCGTCTTCCTGTCGCCCTCCACGGATCGAATCAGAGGGATTGGATATCTGCGGATTATTGTTGACGGCATACTGCTATGCAACCTTTGTGTTGCGTTAGTCGTCCGATTTCCTGCAATCGCCAGATGGCTTTTCTTCAAGCTAGGTTGACAGCGCTGTCGATTTTGTTGGTGACTGCTGGCTGCGAAGTGTACCCCCTGGGCTACATTTGAGGCTACTAGAGGATTATACTAGGAGTTGCTATGTACCGTTTGTTTAAGGGGTGTGCCCTAATTCGTCACCGAATATTCGACATTAGACTTGTTGTGTTTGAGTGTTATTTCCCAATCTCTCGATGGAGAATTACGGCTCTAGTTGCGCTGTATTTGAGTGTTGCCATGATTTGGGAGTTGACCTTCCAGTGGTACGACCTGCAAGGTTACTTGAGGCATATACATACGAACGTATATTTTGGCTTCGAGCAATATACCTCTCAATTCCTTTTGACTGTATCATCGACATGCACATCGTTATTACAGCTCAATTTATCCGTGAATAACCGGTTCATCGGCCCGATGACTCATCAGATAAGATCATCCCGCGGCCTGCGGGGGAGCTATCTGGTATCTGATCCATCGCTTTCCAATCCTCCCGAGTTCCTTCCTTTCCTTTGTGAATCCAGAGTTCTCTATCCGCCTCTCATAAACCCTTGTGGTCTACTGGCGCCTAGCAATGCTGCGGCGGCATTTACAGCGTCGCCTCCCGTCCACCTTGGCTCGTCGCGACATTGCCCGATGTCGGCTTCCTCAATCATACGGCTGGTCAACACGCCAACTGTCCAGCTCCTCCACATTTCCGACATCGTCTCAATTCAACCGGTCAGAATTTACGACCCAGCCATTTACTAGTAGCTATGAAACTGGACTCCCTACTCCTGGACCCTTAGGATCAACCCCGGCGTTTGGCGCCCCCCGCATCACACCGAAAGTTTTAAAACAATATCTCGATCAATATGTCGTCGGTCAGGATCGCGCAAAGAAAGTGCTCAGTGTCGCCGTATACAATCACTACCAGCGCGTGCAAGAGTTAGTGCGCCGGGAGGAAGAAGCAGCCGAGGCACTTGCGAAGCGCCAGCGGAGGGAAGCACTCGAGATTCATCCCTTAGACGGTATGTCGCCTATTGATTTTTGATGTTGCCGCTTATTTTCTGATTCATCCTTCGATCCAACAGATGATATCACAGGCATGCAGAAGACTGCCAGCATACCCCAAACCCCCAAACCCCGCCCAAACACCCCCTTAGAGCAAGCGGATTTCGCCGATACGTCACCGCTACAACTTGAAAAGTCCAATATTCTGTTACTTGGTCCGTCTGGTGTAGGAAAGACACTTATGGCAAAGACTCTTGCTCGGGTTCTTTCTGTGCCTTTCAGTATCTCCGACTGCACTGTGTTCACGCAAGCCGGTTACATTGGAGAGGACGCCGAAGTGTGTGTCCACCGACTTCTAGCAGCTGCGGATTACAACGTGGAGCAGGCAGAGCGTGGAATCATTGTCCTTGACGAGGTGGACAAGATTGCCGCGGCAAAGGTTAGTCATGGCAAAGATGTCGGCGGTGAAGGAGTACAACAAGCGCTCCTCAAGATCATTGAAGGCACAACCGTGCAGGTCCAGGCCAAGCCAGAGAAGAACCCCCGCGCAACTAGTGCCCCAAATAGCTATCCCTCCAATAGTCCCTTGGGGAATGGGTCATTCCAACCCAACAACCCCAACCCAGGGGCCAAGGGAGAAGTGTACAATGTGCGGACGGACAACATTTTGTTCGTGTTCTCTGGCGCCTTTGTTGGACTGCACAAAGCTATCATGGATCGAATATCCCGTGGATCAATAGGCTTTGGTCAACCAGTTCGGCTTGCCTCAAACACTAGTGATTTCCCTGGCTCGCCAAATACCTCTACCAACCAGCCACTTCCAATCCTCCCAGGGTCCGAGGAAGAAGCGCTGTATAAGAAGCATCTCCCTTTCTTCTCCTCTGCCTCGCCAACTGGTTCTGGCGCCGAACCAACCTATTTCAACGCACTGGACCTGTTAACACCCTCAGACCTGCAAAGCTACGGCTTCATCCCAGAGTTGATTGGCAGGATTCCTGTCACCGCCGCTCTCTCTGCACTATCTCAACCTTTACTTATGCGCATCCTAACCGAACCCCGCAATTCCCTTCTGGCCCAATACATCACCCTATTCTCCCTCTCGGGCATCGAGCTGCGCTTCACCACACCGGCACTCCACAAAGTCGCAGGCAATGCCTTCACAATGGGCACCGGCGCACGAGCGCTGCGAACTGAGATGGAGACCATTCTAAGTGACGCCATGTTCGAAGCACCCGGCTCGAGTGTGAAATTCGTCCTCGTGACCGAGGCTGTGGCCGACCGCAAGGAACAGCCCATCTACCTTGCCCGTGGACAGGGCGGGCGTTTCCATGCTATGATTTCCGCCGAGGAAAGTCAGTGGGAAGCAAAGAGTCGCAGGGAAAAGAAAGACCAGGATCAAAAGAGTAACACGCAAGATGATGCGGATGGCGCTAGTGCGTCGAACTTCCAGGAGTACCAGAATCGAGCGACTGGTTGACTGTAAATACATGGTATGCTTTCATCTTTTGCCCATCCCCGGTGACTATCTATATCTTTTGTGTGTTTTTCCTTCTTATCACAGTTGCATCGGCGGCAATTAGCGTGCAGTCTAGCACAGCTATACTTTTGAAAATCCCGAACGTCTGTATGATGGGTTTTCCACGACTGATAAAGCGTTGGTCTCAATCTTTTTGAATGCAGCTGGACAAAACTAGTATGCATGACTACAAGCTGCCTAGGTCGACTTTCACAGATGGTGTGACTAAACCAATTTCGATTCATTTCATGGCCTCATGGTTTTCTAGACATAATACATACAAACAGATCGAACGGGGGTATCATAAAAGATTGTGCAGAAGAAGGGGAAGAAGAATATGAGAAGTATGTGCGGCGTAACCTGCTTTGGTCGGAGCTTCGCAAGGATCACTTGTAGGGAGCAGGGTACTTGTTTGTGCCATTACCGTTTGGGCTGCCTGTAAAGGTAGATTGAATAGCGGCGTTGGAGTTGTGGGACGCCCAATTAGGCGTCAGCGGTGTGGTCGCGGTCATCGGGGTAGCTACTTGGCCAACAGAAGCCTGTGGCTTGGCACCTGACAGGTAGCCCATAAGGCCTACCGAGTCTATTTTGAACCGCTTAAAGAAATGGGCGAAACCACCTCGCATGACAGTCATATGGCCCCATTTGTTCCACCGTGGCCCGGTAGTAGCACTGAGAGATGTGACAGCGATGAAGTTCCGGAAGCGTGGTACGTTAATCAGTGACCATCCTGCGAAGAATTCGATCAGATGATCTGCGTCTCGTTCAATTTTGTCCTTGATTTTGAGGCCGTGGTGCTCCGTGCGAGTACCGTATTCATTAAGAGAGGGTGCGATGACGTTGCTTTTTGAGTTAAGGTGTAGACTGGCTGTATCGAACAAGCCTGTGCGAGGGTCCGTGGCGTTGTTCTTGATGATCAACATGTGGATGAGCAGCAGGCTACATTTAGGTCTGTTAGAAGCTTGACCCAAATAGCGGTAAATGGGTATGACATACAGGCCATGATCTTGCGAGTGATTCTCATCACTGAGTCTCCTTTCGATCCAATCAAGTATCCCAGGGGGGAGCATCAGCGTCCAAGACTTGCGTTTGTTCTTGTTTACATTCCGAATCCATTGGAGGGTGACCGCCACCCCTTTTAGGTCTGTCAACACATCTTCAGTGAGAAGTATGACACCGCCATGTGGGAAGATGCGTAGGCCGTGGTCACTAGGTGAACAATACCGGGGATCAACTAATTCCAGTGGTCTTTGAATGCGGACAATCCAGAAATTGAACGGGTTGGTAGGAAGCACAGAATTGAGCGGGGGATGCAACGTATCGTATCCGGCGAATGATTCGTGAAACTGCTCTTAATTAGTTGTTTGAAATTGTGAACGTGTAAATATCGGCCACGTACTATGGCCACGCCCTGTCTGCTGCTGTGCACAAATTTCGCCCAATCTTCGGGGTTGTCACTTGTGAAAACAATCTTCTTATAGTAGTCCAAAATTCTCTGCAGAAGCTGCAGTTCCATTTGCACTTCCTCATTGCCTAGGGGAAAGTGCAAATAGAACATATGTGCCTTTGATAGTTTTCCGCCTTCCTCGATTGTCGCAAGTTCTTCCACGCTGATTTTGTGGGCTTTCATGAACTCGTCAACCGCTTGGACTGCTGCTTTAGCCGCTTGGACCGCGAGGTTATCTTGGGGTTGGGGGTTAGCGCCAATTGAATTATCCTTGAGTTCACCTGCGGGCGGAAATCTTTGGAACGGTGCTAAGGCCAGCGTCTCTCGAGATTGCAAGGATCCACTCATTCCCGTATCATGGTGGAAGTTCGACCGTCTTGTGTGACTGCCAGACTCTAGGCCATCACCTGCACTAGGGGGCTGCACGCGCAGTGAAAGCGATGTATCTGGCAAAAGGCTATGCGGTCGTTCACTAGGCTGGCTAGGCCCACTTGCCCCTAGAGTTTCGATCGGTGCGAGCATAGTGCGAGCGGCAACGAGTAGAGGAATGCCGGGTGGCACTTCATCATTAGGATCTGGAAACTTGAATTCCTGTGACCCATGTGACCAAGCAAGCCAGACAACTGGAGCCAGTCCCTTTCTTTGCTCCGCAGGATAGTGAATGGCGATGAGGTCGTCCTTTCGCAGATCCTCTGCTAGATGAACTAGATTTTCGTTGGTGTCGCTGAAGCCCTCGAGCCAGCCGGTACTCCGTACAGAATTTATCGCCTATAGCCAACGTTAGCATTTTATGAGAGACAAATCTACGGATCTGATACTGACACTGGATTCGCACAATCTTTCGTAGTCCCTGACTGTGCATAGGTACTTAAACCAAACCTCGACTTGGTGCGTTTCCGGATTCTTAGCAAACATCAGACATTGCCGAACGTTCTGAGGGATGCCGCATAGTCTGAAAGCACCGAGGGGTCTCCTGTCGGGTCCGATAAATATGTGGACAAGAACCTCTCCTAAGACTTTGTTGCACCAGTAATCACCAATCTTTCGGCAACCGGGCGCCCGGCTATCACGCACCGGCATTCTTGCAATTTGGGCCGCGATGGAAAGACTTGGTTGAGCAGGTGGTCCAGCTCTGGGTTCAGTGGGCACAAATGCTTGAGCATTGGCTGATGGGTTTACATTCAACCCGATTAAGTTCGAAGATCTTGACGCAATCCGATGATGACTCGGTGACGGGCTACGAGGCGCGTAAGAACCGCCCATATCACGGTGAGAAGACCTTGACGGCCGACTGGGGGGCGGTGACCGTGACCTTCGGGGTGGTGATGACCATCGAGATGGGGATTGCCGACGTGAGCGTGGTGAGCGTGACCTTCGGGAGGGCGGTAACCGACGAGAGGGTGATGACCATCGAGATGGCGATGGCCGGCGTGGGGGTGGTGAGCGTGGCCGTCGGGATGGAGATGACCGCCGAGGTGGTGATGACCATCGAGACGGCGACGGCCGATGAGAGCGCTCTGACGGTCGGTATGTATCAGCCACGATTGTGTTGTAGGCTGAGTCAGGCCTATAGTTGTCCCAGCCTCGGACTGTCTCGCGGCTGTCCTGCGAGTGTCGATTCCCAGTAGGCCTCTCGAGATTGACCCTTGCACGCGGCCGAGTTGGAATGGCTGGCGAGAGAGCATTAAGGGGATCCGAGAGTCCAGCAGGTTTCATTGAAGTAGCCTCCGCACGGGCTCCGGAAAGGACAACTGGAGGGAAGACGGAGCTAGTAGAGGCCGAAGGACCGGTAGGTGTGTCGATATTGGCCTGTGATGGGGGACGGGGAGCTGGTGAGGGCGTAATAAGGGCAGAGGTTGGCCGCCCAGCAGGATTCTTCAAAGGAGCCTCACCTGCCGGCGAGAAAGTAGGGACAGTAGAATCTACAGAATCGACAGGCTGGGTGAGGTCGGCCTGTGGAGGGGGCTTTGGTTGGGTAGCTGACGAGGGAAAAGAGGGAGTTGAATCTACAGGACCAACATGTCTTTCTGCATTCAATGGTGCACTGGGGCCAGACAACACAGCCGACGAGGAAACTGACGCAGTGGAGCCTAAGTTCGAAGAGCGAGACACTGGAGGAGCCATGACGGACGAAGGCGCGAGGACAACAGGTTTCTGTGGCTGTTTCGTAGCTTTATCGTCTGTTTGAACAGTATGTGTCTTTACTAGACCGGTCTGGCGGACTGAATTCTCGGAAGCAGGTTGGTTTGGGGCTTTCGGGGACTTGGGACTTGTCACAGATGGGCCAATGACTGGGGTGTTGGCGACTATGTTCATCCTTGGTGGAAATTCAGAAGGCTTCATCAGCTTCATCTGTGACAAATCCGGTGCTCGTTCACTCCATTTATTATTATCACGGGATGCGCGCTTGGCCCCCGAGCCTGTACCAAAGGAAGACAATGTCGGCTTCGCTGCTTGTGGGGGGCTTTTCGGGCACGCCTTGGGCTTGTGCTTGGCACTAAGTTTCTTTGCGAGCTGAGAGAGTCGCGAGTTTGGCTTGCCCGGGCTTGTTTCTCTCTGTGCAATCAAGGTTGTTGATCCTGGAGGCTCGTTCCGAGGTGTTTGCGCACTGGAGGTAGCTGACCTTGGAGGTGCCATTTGTTGCAGCAATTGGCGAGCCACAGTTTTTGACGGCGGAGGGGTTTCAGCTTCTACAAATAAGGCCGAAGCCATGGAATCAACGGATAGGCAACTGGGAGCTCTGTGAGATGCGGTATCTGCTTCGGGCTCATCGGCATCTATGATACCGGGATTGGCCAGTCGAGATGATTCAGCCTGAGGGAGGCTTCTCTGTCTTGCCCTTTGCTCTCGTTTGCGCCTTCGATCTTCTTTTCGCTTTTTCGTCTTCTTCTCCAACAAAGCCATGCGCTTCTCCCATGACTTGAGATCGAAGCGAGGCACCTTGCCCTCCGCAATCTGCTTTTTCTTCTCTTCCCAGTCTTCAAGTGTCTCTTCCGAAGTAAACATTTCCTTCGGCTCCCAACTGCACCTGTCCATGCTGTACCCAGCCCACTCGACCAAATACTGAGTGATAAAGACACCTTCATCATCCTCAGAATCTGGTTCTACATAGAACCTCCGCTCCGCATGGATGTCATTCACGAGGTACTCCGCTTCCTCTTCGCTTTCTGCGGTAGATACCAGGGAGTCGGCATCACCAATTTCACTTGGATCAAGAGCATTGTTCATTTCAGAATCAGATGCCATTGTAATAGCCTAGCAAATCAAGTCAACAAATGTCTCATTTTGCAGCGTCCAATGCCCCATAATTGCGGGGTTTCTGGGATATCAAGATAGAGCGAGTGCCTACCGTATCTCATATTCATTGTTATGGTGAAAATGAAAAGAAAAATGCTCGTCGGCAACAGCAAAAGCAGAAGCAAAGCGAGCAAGACTAAGAATAAGAAAGTTGATAGTCAGTTACTGCCCATTGATAAAAGACACCGCCCGCGTGTCAAACGCCAACCCACGTGATTCCCACGCTAATCCACAATGGGTGGGCACGATTAAGGAGAGACACTCGGCCCAAGTATCACTGACTATCCCCTGCTGATTCTCTATTACTTCCCGTGTGTGCGCTCCCCTAGTTTCCCTTCTGCCTGCTGTGAGCTCAGTACTGACGTATCTGACTTTCACTCTCTGAAGTTTCCAAGTACACCCCTCAGTCTTCACTTACCCGCCACGTTTACCTGTACTTTGATACGACCTTTCGAGCTTTACTAGCTCGATCACATTCAAAATGGCCAACGACGAATATGACGTGAGTTGACTTGGGACGATGAGCTCCTCTGTGTTTCAGAACTATATGCTGACGATAATATTCCCCACAGTTTCTCTTCAAAGGTAACGTCGCCACCTGGCGCTGATATCCGCCCTCGTCTTACCACCCTCCTTGTTACCCCTCCCAAAAGATCCCTAGACTGACTGTGGAGGTATTCTGGAGTGAACAGTGGTGCTTATTGGAGACTCTGGTGTTGGTAAATCTAACCTCTTGAGTCGTTTCACCCGCAACGAATTCAACCTGGACTCGAAGTCAACGATCGGTGTGGAGTTCGCGACCCGGTCCATTCAAGTCGATTCGAAGACAATCAAGGCGCAGATTTGGGATACCGCTGGTCAGGAGCGCTACCGTGCTATTACTTCTGCCTACTATCGTGGTGCTGTCGGCGCCCTCCTCGTTTACGACATTAGCAAGCACCAGACCTATGAGAATGTCAACCGGTGGTTGAAGGAGCTACAGGGTCACGCCGATTCGAACATCGTCATCATGCTCGTTGGTAACAAGAGTGATTTGCGCCATCTGCGTGCGGTCCCCACAGAGGAGGCCAAGCAGTTCGCCAGTGCGTTTCCCGACAATCGGTTTCATAGTGTGGCGCTGACATTCAGTAGGCGAGAACAACCTTTCATTCATCGAGACCTCCGCTCTTGATGCCAGCAACGTTGAGCTGGCCTTCCAGAACATCCTTACAGGTTGGTTGTCGATTTCTTAGAATTTGTCATTGAATACTAATTTCGATAGAAATCTACCGCATCGTTTCCAGCAAGGCTATCGACCCCGGTGAGGGTGGCCAGCAGGTCCTCGACCGCCGTCCCGTTATCGACCCCAGCAAGCAAGACAGCGAGCAGAAGCAGGGCTGCTGCTAAATTACCCTTCGTAAGGACGATGCACCGGCTGCCACGACTCTTCTTTTGTGATGTGACATTGAGATGGTCTTGATCTGTATTGGAGTCTGAAATTCGACTGCTACAAAGATGATACACAGGCGGGATCTGTTAGAGAAACCACACGGGAAGACAGGGGTCTACCGGAATTGATGTTAACAGTCGCCGGATTCCCCTTCGGTCCTTTTTTCTTGTTCGCTTTTTCCCATGGTCCTCAACGAAATTGATCCCCTTTCCTTTTCTGTTCGCCCAACGGGTGTGATATGTTTCTACGATGGTGAACACAGCTTGGTTGGGCGCTAACATTGCAGCTGCGTGGCTTTTGTATGAAAATTCTCAAATTCGTATATTCATTCCACCCATTTTAGTAGACTTGTACAATGTAGTCATGCAATGCCAACAAGGAGACAGTGTCAATGCCTGTCATCAGGGAAAAGGGTCCACGTGCTCCACAAGGTAATTTACTTCTCTGGGCTAGCCTGTTATAGCGTATTGATAATTAGTGCCTGTGCACACCTTGCTAAGTGACTAGATCGTTCCAAGCTTATACGATTTACAGCGGCGACACGGCCTTATATATTTCGAATATCTACTTGAGAGTTCATATAGACCTTTACATATATGCTACTAGAAACTACTTCTTCGCAAAGAAAAATTAAAAGTCCATGCACATGTTTCGACAAGTTCAAAAAGTCGACGAGCACAAATCTAATCTAAGACAATGCCCATGTCACGGCCAGCCACTGCAGATCGCAATTCCCCAAGCTCGAGCCCACGTTCGTTCATGACATATCCCAACGTGTCAACGAACGTTTCACCGTTGTTGCGAAACCATTCCCCTAGAGACCAGACGTACTCCTCGACCTGTTCTTTCAGCAACTCTCGGTCGCGTAACCATAATATCTGGCCAGGATCGAGCTTCAGCATGTCCTGTATAATATAGTAATGTGGGATCTCGTCACCCCAACCTTCATACCCTGGGTCATGGGAGAGGTCATTGCGAAACCGAGACCGGTATTTGGCTGGCGACTCGGCATAACTACTCGGATGCGCCGTATGGAAGTATTGTTGAATCGAGGCGTCAGGGCCTTCCTGAACCAAGGGGTGGCCATGCGAAGACAGAGAAGTGGTTGAAAGTGGAGGATAATTGAGGTGGATATTGAACGACAGTTGCTGGCTGCTGTCTGGATAACGCTTGCGGAATTTGCGTTGAATAGTTCCATTGCTAGGACATATGTGGTTCTGCACAATATCACACATGACGAGGCGCAAATCCTCAATCTCGGCCACCTCTTGGGTGGACCAGTTATGGAGCAACTGAGCGCGCTCCAACACCACATGGCGAAGACTACGAGAATAGCGATCATAAACACGAGAATGGAATGCACTGTGATACAGCCATAGCCGGTAAACTGCGCGACGCAGCCGGAATCGCTCTTCGTCGGTGAGCAAGCGACGATTCTCAAAGTCTACCTTCCACTTCTTAAACGGGTAGATCGTCTCCCATTTTCGCGCCACCAGACCGAGCTGAATGACTTGTTTCAAAAGGGAATCAGACATGGGCGCATGTCGGATGAGATGAGCGGGCTGGCTCTCGTTTTGCGTCACTACCTGAATAGCATCGACGAGGGGACCAAATTCGGTCTCCGCGGCACTGGCTAGGATATGCAGTTTGCTTGTTGAGTTGAGGACGCGGTGAAGTCGACGGCAGATGACTGATAAATTCAAGACATCGGAGACTGAGTCGCATGAACGAAATATATGGAGCAGAAGCTCCGTTGCAAGATGATCAATTCGCATGATGGAAATATCTATATGGTTGCTGTAAAGAATAACACCATTAGAATAACTCATAGAGTGTCCATGAGTGATGACTTACCTGATGAGGGGTTGTTATTTGTATCAGGTAATTCGAAAGAAGGCAACTATTTTCGAGGATCTATGAATGAATGGATTTGGACAGTGTCGTCACGAATTGAAGCGAGCAGCAACTCGTAGACTTATCGCGCGTACGGTAGCCTATTGGATATAGGCCCCGCCGTTGGGGCTAACAGAAGGAAGAGACAGCATGGGGCCAAGAGTGAACATATTGGAAGAGCAAGCTCCTTGTAGCCATGTAGGGCTAGCCAACAAAAATGATGCCATAATAGATGGTGCCAGAAGGCAAAGGCAGACTGGGTTCGGGCGATGGCGTCGAAGGACGGCTTTATATGACGCTTAGCTAATGTTGCCCCTTGCATCCATGGATCCACCCCTTCCAGTTATTCTGAAGAAAAAGCTCTCCGGATGGCAATGAAACAGGCAAAAGCAAGAAACAGATAGAAATAATCAACTTTTGAAATTAACCAGGATGAGACTTTGCCCCGACGCCTTAACGGACCATGATGAAATCGTCGCATCAAATATACATATGTAGTCGAAACATCATCCCGAGGGATATCAAGTCTAGAAATAGCACGACGAAACAAAACACAAACCCCCTATGCAAACAGCTTCCTTGTATCCAACGCATCCACCTTCCGCACAGAGTTCTCGGACAGTCCTAGATCGGAGCGCTTGGCCACCCGATCAGTCTGGCCGTCTCGGCGCTGGGAGTAACGGCCAGCCTTGCCTTGTCGGATGTCGCTACGGACTTGGTTGGGGCTGACATACTCCTTGTTCTCGTAGATGACAGGTCCACCAAAGCTGCCTTCGAGAATGACAATGGGGGTCAGAACGAAGCGAGGGCCAATCTCAACCAGAGAAACCTCGGGCAGGCTGTTGTCCTTGTCCTTTGGTACGGGCTTGATAGTCTCGTCACCGTCCTTCTTCTTGCCAGCCTCAGACTCGCGGATCTCATAGACGCGAATCCAGATCTTGCCGTCCACTCCAAAGATACCGATGATGCGGTCGATGAATGGCTTCATCCCTCTGACACCACGCTTGGGCACACAGAAAACTCCGCGCAGCATCTCCCGAACAAGCGCACGGTATTCACTGCCAGGAGCGCCCATATCCGGGCCTTGCTCGTCGAAGGAGCGATCGAACACGACCAAGCCGCGGCCGCCCTTCAGGCAATTCCCTGCGAATCCAGCGCCGAGCTCGCCCATTGTGTGCAAGTTGTTGAGGTGGAACTTAATAGTGGGACCATTAGGAGGGCGTGAAAGCCAGAGATAAAGATCCTGGCCGTTCTTCTTGGCCTCGAGGAAGAAGATAACGTTGCAGGAATGCAGGTCGGCAAGAGAGTTCAGGAGGAGGTTGTATCCAGCGGCCTTCTTTTTTGTATCGAGCTTGGTCTCTTTGTGGGCATGGGGGAGGAGACCGCAGATATCAGACATAAGGTGTCGATGGCTACAGAAAAGCAAATTGTCAGATCAGTAAGCCCATTCAACATATCTCAAGGCGCAATATTCATACCGGTAGGAAGCGCCTCTGGAGGTCAAGATAAGTACTCGGGTTTTGGGCATAAATCCAGAAGCAAGCTGCTTCTTCACAACCTCAGCCGCCTCGCCATCGTCAGACTCTTCCTCTTCGCTATCGGTGGTGTCGTCCTCCGCATTGAGGAGCTCCTCCATCTCGACGTCCTCGTCGGACATATCCTCAGTGGGCTGTCTAGCCGCCTTCTTTGAGACACTCTTGTAAACTGATGCCATGGTGACTGTTGATTGTGTCAAAATGGAACTATAATTGATCGTGCAAAAGAAGGCCGCGATCAAAAAGTTGATGGCAGAATATTTTTTGTTTTCCACCGCCCTGAACCTTGCTGTATCACGTGCGAAATGGGGCTACTGGTTTATTTGCCGTTGTTTACCGCCCTCCTGCCAAATATTCAATTGTGAAAGTGTTCGTTGATGTTTTACAACAGCTTGCTTTATGATTTTGGAAAATGTGAGCTACAACATATGTAGCTTTTCATACTTGCCGTCTTCAATTTATATGCATAATGTCACTCCAAAAACAGGCTGAAGTTCAACAGACCAGAGAAGTCTCTCATTGGTCAAAATATATATCAAAGGTTACATATATATAGAAAAGCCGCTCCCACAAATTAAACGTTTGTTTGGCCCTTTGCTGCTGTCTACCCATCAAACTGAGAAGGGGGAGAAAATATCTATATAACCACACGTCTAAAAAGACTACCAGACAAAACTACCAGAAAGGAGCAATGAAAGAAACATATAAAGAATATCGGAGAAGACTACCCAAGAAGGCCACCAGACTACGGCCGCATAAGCGGCCGACTACTTTTGCCTTCCATTCCATTCATATGTCTAAATAGACCCGGTAGGAGAGGACTAGACCATCTCAGATTACAGCTATTTTGATCCCCAAAGGTTGATACGATAAGTAGCAGCCTGGTGCATTGACTGAATATTTGATTTTAATTTCGACAATTTGGAGGTCTGAAAGAATTCGGCCGAGCAAAGGGCGAGTCAATATGACGGAACGTCCAACGCTCTTTGGAGGTCTGAAAAGCCCTCTCGTGTGACCTTCAAGCCAGCAATCAGATTTGCAAATTCCAATCTCTTTCGGAAACCCCAATCCTGACCACGATAGATAAGACCGTATAGTAAGCCAGCATTAAATGTATCTCCAGCTCCGATGGTGCTATGGCTGTCAGTATGGCCTAGTTTGTGCTGTTATACGTCGGAAAGCTCAAAAACTCACTCGATGACTCCCCCTTCTTCAATATGTGCCGGAACATGAGCAAAGTTGCCAGTTTTTGGTTCAAATGCTGCAGCCCCTTCATGACCCCAAGTACAGCACAGCAAGGATCTATAGAAGATAGATTAGATTATTGCTCTGGAGACTTGGACAGTAAAGCCTACGCTCGGCTTGTCTTCAATGACTGATCCCGCAAGCAATCCTCAGCAGATGTATATCCATTGCTCTGCCAAATTATTAGATGTGCTTAGAAAAGCCGAAAATGAAATCTCACCTGGGCCCAGCCCTTCGAGTAGATAACAACGTCTGCCGCGTCTGCAAGCTCCTGCAAGCCTGGCCGGCCTGGTTTTTCCACCTCAACACTGATTTCAGTACCTAGAAAATGCTCCCGGAGATAACGAATACATTCCAATGTTACATCTGGTGCACGGCCCTGAGTCCAAATTAGCATGATTCGTCACCAGCTGAGCACCTCGCCAATATTTAACGCACCTCAAAATGAAACCAGGGTCGACCAGTCACGGCGAGTAAGGACTCAACGGCGGTAGCGAATTCAGCGCAAGTCATTTCCGGCAGCTCATTGTAATTGACGATCGTCCTACTACCGGTGGCCTGGCTTGTAATGATATAACTGGAAGCTGGCTCACTGAATATCTCTCGGTAAATGCAACTATCTAGCCGAACCTTATTCCCTAAGCTTGCTTGAATTTGCTGAGATGCCACTGATGTTTTGGAGGGAAGGACAGTAATGAGATTCAGGGATGATTCGGCACTCGACGGCCCATATTGTAACAATTGCCCTAGAACTTCGAGAGTGTTTGGGCAGTTACCACCGCGCCGGCGACAGATCCTGGATGCACGAAGCTTCTCATCTTCACCTGGGTAGTGAGGGGCTCTGGTTAAAGCATGTGAATGACATGGCTCTCTCCAAACGCAAGCAACTTCAAGGTGCAGCGGAAAGAACTCACGTTAGAATTGTATCGAGGTAGCACGCCCCTATAGCTACTAAAGTCATAATGATGATCTTGGCCAGGATCTACCTCCGCTTTTCAGAAAAAGGAGGAGCTATTACTCTTGTGGATTGATCGAGTTGAGGGTCCTGGACGGGTCCACTCCAGCCCTGCCAAGGTGGCCGGGTGGGAATAGATTAGTCAGCGTCTTGTTAAGCCTACTCGCTTTCTCACCTTGGAAGGTTCTAAGGTTGTCCTACAAGTAAGTATGTTTATCTTGGTATCAAGAATTTTGTAGTTTTTATAGTATTACACAATGGTCCACAATGGGGTACATATTCTACTTCCTAAAGGATCTGCAACTATAGTGCGCGAGAGCTGGCTCCATACAGTCAGGCCCTAGAATGGACCTCTAGTCATATATCCTTTTATTCTCTGAGAAGATTAGTCCCCCGATATGAGTCGGACTAGGGTAACGACAGCCACGTGACTGATATATCGCGTACATTAATACAACCGACCTACCCTATCACAAGAGGTTGTCGTGGTAGGGTAAGCATCTGCTTGCTTGTCCTCGCATTCTTTCTAAGAAGGCGTAACGAAAGAAGGTTTCTCTTTCGATTTCTTTATTGGGCTATAAAAACCAAGGTTCATTGTCATGTCTCACCCAAAGCATAGGCATAAAGAGGAAGGCGGGATACTGCAGGATGAAATTGGGTTTGAATGAGACAAACTAGATTGAAAGACCAGCAGGCATGCAATTTGCACACATCTTATTGTCTCTTACACATGGGCACAAAGAAAGCATTGATGTGGCCGGCAAGCACTTTGCATATCCCAACGATCCTTTTTGATTCTATATCAGTTATATAGCCGATCAAAACTGTTCATGGATCCTCTTAGTGTCCTCACAACTCCATTTTATCATTCCATCACTGAGACCATTTTTGCAACCATGGGTCAGCGGAACAAAGTCTTAGAGACTGACACTCCTACTGCAAAATTTCTTTACACAATCATCAAGCAATTGGACCTGAAGTCGGTCAGTTTATTGCCCGACCTTTAACTGAAGAGCGATCTAATCTTATTTGAACATCATAGGTCGACTGGAATAGGGTCGCCTCCGATGTCGAGGTTTCCAATGGTCATGCCGCTCGTATGCGGTATTCGCGCTTCCGACAACAGATGGAAGGAACCACGGGGGCAAACAAACCAAGGCGAAAGAGCAAGAAGGGAAAGACCATGGATCCGCCCGCTGAGATGCAAGGAATATTCCCAATGGCTCCGCCTCTCATAATGCCCACCATGGAGCAGACAGATTCTTCTCTTCCAGGAAATCCCTTTGTAAAGTGCGAACCGGGCACTCAAGACAATGCAAACTTGCAGAGCTTTATGCAGCATTCTCCGCAGTTGATGATGGAGGCTGGTACCGAAGGACAGTATTACTTTCCTCAGGATTTTGCCTCAACGCAGTTTCAGCTTGCGTCAAACATGCCGTCTGGGCTGCCATCACCCAGCCCCGCAACATCATCGTCCTTGTTGCCTGAAAATCCATATCAGTTCCCGACCACGTCAACCAGTTACCCTTATTCATCGTCCGGTTGCCTTTACTCATCACCCGCTTACCCATATTCATCACCCGGCACTCAATCCGGTTTCGACTTGCAGGAGTTTGGCCAAATGCACCCTTTCACCAATTATGCCCCAACAATCAGCTGGGAACCACAACCTTCTTCTAGCCAGGAAAGCCCCGCTGTAAAGGTTGAAGAAGAGCAACAGACTCACCAGGAAGGCCCGACTGTGAAAGTAGAAGAAGGACAACCAACCGAGGAGGAGATACCGAGTACAGGGAGCCAGGAAGATCACCATGTTGTTGTCAAAGTTGAAAAGATTCAAGATTGATCAGGTGTTGGAGACTAGAAGGGCCTTTCATATGTTCATTAGCTAGTTCCCTCGTTATTACCATCAAGTACGCTGATTTAGTCTCTGCGTCCTCTCTCACTTGCAAAAGCTAAGTACGGTGTTCAGGTGTCCTTGCAAGTCTGATAATTATGTTTCATTTGGCGGCGGCGGCCGCTGTGCATCCATAGATCGATCTATGATAAAATCTTGAGCGAGGGAATGGATATATTTCCAAGCCCATTAGCATTTTCCATCCCCTTCACGCATAGATAGTCCTACAAACTAACCTAGGGTTCACCAACTCATTGGATGTGGTATAAAATGATAGGATAGCTGATCGTAAGTGGTGCTTCGTTAAAGGAAAGCCCTGCTGTCGCGATGTGAGTCTCGCTACCTTTGCACATCCCGTCCAGGGAACTATCTATAAGAAAAGCCAAGCCACGAATTTTAATGAAAGGTATAACTCAAGCTCATATCGCCATCGCGGCCTGCGAAATCGCTGCTTATAGAAGAAATACGTATTATAAGCGTGCAGTAACGCTCAAAATTGGATTTTCTCACTGCTAGATTGGTAAAAGAATACACTGAATCTAAATCAAGGGAGACGAGTCCGTGATATAATCGACGTTGACGTGAAAGATGCACTAAACGCATCAAAACGAATCAAACGAATCAAACGAATTAAAACGCATTAAATACCAGTTGACGTCTCCTGGGGGGATTGTATGGTTGTCTTTTTCTCTCCACCGAAAATTTCATTTATCTTCAGAAGCATCTACCCTTATTGAAGGCGCCTGAAGATTTACTTCCGGGATTGCCGAACACAATGCCTTCTTACAAGAATGATCCTCCGGACCAGGAGTATCTAGACTCAATCAAGGAACATACCGACAAGGAAACCAACAAGGTACGATGTATCGATAACTTCGGTGGGATTTTTGGCTTGAACAGACGCTCGACATACTAAACTGGAGACCAGGTTAATCTTGCGCTCGTGGCCAAGGACTTTGGCTATGCTAGTGGAAAGTCGTTTCAGAAGAAGTATGCCAAGCTAAAGAAAGCACATAACCTGACCAACGGCCACATCTATGGCGATGATAAGGCAAGCCGAGCTCTATCCATCCCAATAATATCTAAATATCTAAAATAATTTGATCAATCAGCCAGAGATCACTTCCACTGAGGCGGCTTCCACCGAGACGGCTCAGACTCCCCCGAAGGAAACCAAGACCCCTGAGGCCGAAAAGAGCGTCATGGATATTGTGAACGAGCACGTGAAGGCATATTCAGCCAAACGTGCCGCCGAACAAAAGGGCAAAAGCATGGAGGATGATAAGAAGAAGAAGAAGAAGAAGAAGAAGAAGAAGAAGAAGAAGAAGAAGAAGCAAGCTAGACCTGTCAAAACTTGAGTAAAAGAGGGTTTCGGCGTGCGAGGATTCTACTATCAATCTACAGGATAGGCGCCCGGAAGATGATAGGCTCTGATTCAACATGTGTTCTACTTTAATGGGATGTATCTTTCTAAGGGGGGCTACTAGGAGCATTGGAAGTGCAATTCTTGATCTTAGGTCTCCGTCTAGTGGCCGCTCTAACCAATAATGTAGTAGATGCCCGAATTAGCTAGTATCAATGTCACTGAGGTCCGATGTAGATAATTGGAATCCATAGTGTTCGGTTCGCTAGCTAGATAGAACTCAACTCAGAAAACAGCAAAGACCGCGGAGTAACGAGAACTCAAAGATCCTTGTCTTCACCCACAAGCCGAGGTATGCCGTGAGCTCGACGCGTAAGCGAACAACATCTCAAGGCTATGGATAGGGGTGAGGACAATGGACCAAGATCCAAAGTGTGTCTTTGCTAGGCAATGGTATCATTTTGGCATTCGACAATGATGATGGGAAGTTCAGCATCATCGGCCGTGATGGACTGCCAGGAAGGGTCTCCGGGGATTTCGGGGTACTTGTCAGAGCGTTCAAACTCTTTGGCATTCTTCAAAATGCTGAAGTAGTATTTCCTGCTGCTGATTGCCAATAATTGCAATAAAACTTGTAGCATAGCTGAAGAGCTTACGTAGCTTCGGGGGTCATATTGACGCCAGTATCGAGTGCAACGTTGTCCCAGTTGATCTGTTAATAGACAGTAACATTAGCAGGCGTATTGGATTATAGGGACAGACTGTGAATTCGGAGATATCGTGAAACTGAGCTTGAAATTGGGTGTTAGGTACCTTTCCCTTCTGGGAATTCTCCACACAGGTCAGAAGGAAGGCGATGGCCTGCCCCTCCGGCGTATTGAGGGAAGTCATTCCGGTACGATCATGCAATTGAGTTGGAGGTTGTTCGATGTGGCGAAGCATGCGACGATAGAAGCGGGATAGCTGGGACGGGAGAGGAGTGATGGAGGCAAGGACCTTCAGTTGTCTGTAGATGACCCTTCAAAACGCGTTTAGGTCTCAGCTAACAGCTGGTGGCTCCTCCTTGATGTAAAATCACTGATATGCCTACAGCTTTGGCTAATAACAATTATTCTTTGATGTTCAAAATACAATTTGAACAATGACATCTGGCTAGAGTAACTTCACCACGCAGTGCGACGAAAGCACCTTGATTGACCTCTCCTTAGCATAGTCTCCAAGCAAACTTGATATCCTTTGTTTGTTGGGAGGACAGCGAGGGTGCGAGCTCAGAAACGTTCAGTCAAAAAAATTCAATAATACTTCCATAGCTCTTGGTTGTATTGCCCATAGGGTATCAGTGCAAAAGAATCTCAAGCCAGCCTCAACATAGGGGCTAATATAAACAACTTCCTTGATGAAGCGTAAGCAAACAGTAGGATTGAACTTATCAAAGGGGTATCCTATCGAATAAATACAAACAAGGCCTGCGAAGTGCATATCAAAATGGACAAAAACATGATGCTAAGATCTTGACATAAGTCTAAGAGAGATATTCGGTTGGCAAGGGTCATATGTCCGCCATCACAGATTCCACGATCTTTCGCTTGTATTGCGACAAAGCCTGGTCCTTTTTCTGCATCTGAGCACGGAGTCTTGTATAACGCTGCTTCCATGTTGCCTCGGAAACAGGCTGGCTGGGATCATCATCGTCAGAATCCAGCTCCGCCGTCTTATCGTTATCGATGTTCTCATGACTCGGACCCATCATCGTGCTTGTGTGGTCAGACGCACCCGTCCCTCCTATGTTAGGATTGCCGTTTGCGAGCGTGATTTGCATCGAAAATTGGGCTGAAGTTTTGTACTCATGGGAGACGGTATAGTGGACCCCGCTGAATGATTCTTTGGAGGTAGGGGCACCCCCATTCCCATCGCTGCTTGGAATCGCACGTTCTGCCTTGATAACCAGTGACCCTGGATTAGTGCCTGCGAATCCGAAATGATGACCAACGCCAAGGTGAAAGGCCAGTAGCAGCGAAGGAGTTCCAAGTTGGAACTGAGAATGTAATGAAGACAAATTGATCACCATTGCCGAAGCTAGGGCACCGGCCTCATTGGGAGCGAGCGTCCCCGTCCCCCCTGTCAGCCTAGCACGAAGAAGCTCTGCAGAAAGTGCATGGACAATGTCATCGATGGAGGGATTCGTAGTAGCGACCGCATTACTTTGCCCACCGGAGGATGTTGGAGCAGTGATACCATTCTTTGGAGTATCTGTAGTGGGGTATCGGCGGGAACCATTGGGCTCTTCGGATGCGGGAATGACAGCACCATTCACACCATTAACTACTAGTCTCGGTGGGGTGGCAAGTCGAACCGGCGCCCCTGAATGTTGAGGAACCTGTAATTGAAGTTTATTGGGCCGCCCCTGAGAGATAGATGTTGGAGGTTGATTGTGAGGAGGGGTCTGAAATATTTGCGGCGGATTTCTCTCAAGGGCAAGCGATGGAGCTTGAGTATTCGGAAGGGGTGCCTGTGATGATTCCCGACTAGGATTAATCTGGAAGGTAGAAAAAGAACCCGATGATGACCCTCTATTTGGTGGCCTGCCTCGGCCTTTCCCAGCGGACAAGCCATTGCTGTTCGGCCAAGCAGATGAAACTGCAGGGCCATGCCGCCTCCTTGAACGGCTCTTTTCACCAGTTGACGGAGTGACTGCCGACCGTGGTTCCGCAGACATGTGGACGTCTGATGGTAGATGACTCCGTGGGATAATAGCAGACTGTGGATAATTAGCAGGAGAGGCATCCCGGTCAGGAAGTCTCCAGCGTGTGTCTTGATTTGGCTGATCCGGCCCTGAACCATTCGGATATGACGAGGTCGCCGCTGTCCAAGGGTCACTTGGTTCCATATCATCAGGAAATGCACTGAATGGAATCGCACTCTGTGGGAATGTCACGGAGTGGGACTGAAAACTACCCTGATGTACGGTGCCAACAGATGTATCCAACTGTGGCCGCTTGATCACTCTATCTTCCTCGCTGTACCTATCCTCAACCCTTTTCCTTCCCCGCTTTGGCTTCCATTGTGGCACAAGTGCCCTGAGTGCGAGATCTTCCTCCAATAACACACCGTCGCGGGACTCGCTGACAAAAGGACCGGATGGTGGGAGCTGCGTATAGTAAGAATGGGGCAGTCCCATACAATATTCAAAGAAAGCATCAATATGCATAGCACGCATCCAACGCTAGGTGAGATTAGCCAGACGAAATATGGGTTGAAGGTCTGATGGCAGACGTACCTTGAGCCGAACAGTGTACTGTTGCACCTTCTGGGTGCTTTGCTTCTTTTCAATGCAGGGTGGTTCGACACCCAGTTCAATTGCTAGTTGAATCCATGTCTTCAACTCTTCGTTCTGCAGCCGCTTTCGAATGAGCCCGTATAGAGTGAAGATGTTGAAGCTTTTTCCATCACTCCGCGGGAGACACCGAAAGGTCTTTCGCAGATCTGACGTGTCAACTGATGATGGAACATTAGGATTGCAGTACAAGATAAATGCGACATAGGCATCATCGATCGTCTCATCAGTGATATCCCGTGACGGAAGAATTCGGGAATCTGCGTGATCGGCAGGATCTTTCATCGGCTGATGGCGATGAGGATCGAAAACTGGCGGAGACATGGACGTCCCGGACTGATTGGCCGATGATGGTGGTATAGCAGAACGCATGCCCCTCGGGGAAGACTGTAAGCTCCTTGGGGTTTCTCTTCGCTGTAAAGGTGGTGATTTGTTGATATCTATTTGGCTACGAGCACTTCCTAAGGAAGAAGCACTCCGTAACGTCGATTCCAAGGTCGGGGGATATCGCGCATATTGTTGAATGACCATTGGCGGTCCGCCGAGCTCACCTCGGCTCGAGCGATCGGTGGAGTCCATGATAACAGGAAATGGTGTTTCCATCTGAAACTTGGCGATTCGGAGTGACAGACTTCTATGTTTAATTGTAGAAAAGAGCTAGACGCGCGATGCAGGCAAACAATCATGCGGATCTTAGGTCGCATAGGCAAGTCGTCATTATCGTCAAATTAGGAGCCGCGGCATAGATGTAGGCTATCTTCAACACGGAAAGTTCGGCGTATGAATACAAAGAAAAAGGGAAGAAAATCAGATTCTGAACAGCAATGCGATGATGGTGTAGGGTTCCAGGAGGTTTCCCCTCGAGGTGGCTGGAAGCGCCCATCTTTAAAGCTCAAGCTGAGAATCTATTTTGGGGCCATCTAGTGCTCCCTAATGAGGACTAGTGTCGTGGCCTGAGGGCGGGGTTCCTGCCTGCTTATCACGTGTATACTAACATCAATAAGGCTAGTGTATCTTGGCACCTTCCAATTGTTGTTATCGATAAGCTTGTCTTCTTGGCATTATTGGCCTCTCCGACCTCATCCGTCAAAAGAAACCGGACTCACTCGGACCGTCGCAAGGGTCAATTTGAACGCCAATAATTACAGAGTTGTCGCCTCTACAAGCCCTGCACTATTTATTTTTTGCTCATATTGTTGCGCGCGCGACGTCGTGCGTATAATGTGGCTCGGGTCTCTGCTACCCACTCCCTTATCCTAGCGCGACCTTATCCGTTATGGCGCCCTCGAGTTCGCGCTCAAGGTCCACTCGCCCTCTGCGGTCCAGCCGCACCAAGGTGCAGACCTACCACGAGGAAAGCTCCTCTCAAGATGAATCAAGAGGGTTGTCTGGCTCAAGGCGTGCCTCGTTGTCTCTTCGGTCGCGCAATTCAACTCGAATGCCAAAATCCTATCGTGAAGATTCGACAGATGCTAGCTTTGATGGAGCCGTGGAAGATGAAGACTCTGATGCATTAGTAGATGCGCCGATCGAAGCACCAAGCCCGGATGCACCAAACCCGGATGCCGAATCTGTGACTACCCGCCCTTCCAAACCCAAACGTGCTCGGCGCGCTGCAACCACCCCGAAGCCAAAGCAGACCAAGCGATCCAAACCCAGCAGTCAAATTGGGAGAGCCCTGCAAAAACGTGCTAAGACAGATAGGGACGAGCCGATCTTCCTTGGATCCGGTGTCATTCCTCCTTGGCAGACTCTCCCCTACCAAATCCTTCTAGATATTTTCTTGTGCGCATCACATCCATTACTCGACGAAAGCCGTTCGGCCCGCAATGACTCTGTCAAATGGCTAGTCAATGTCGCTCTGCTGTGTCGAAGCTTTCATGAGCCTGCGCTGGCCGCACTCTATCACTGTCCCCCTCTTCTTCCTGCCTACAAGAGCCATGTGCTCCTCTCTCTGCTGGCGCGCCCACAAGAGTCCCTCTCGATGAACTACTCTAGCAAGATCAAGCAACTGCATGTTGAGGTTGAACCAGTGCTCATTTATAAAAGTGGACCCTACGGATACTTCGACCTTGCTCAATTGATTGAAAAGACGCCTCGTCTACACACGATACGACTATACCACAAAGATGATTACACCGTGGGAATACCTCCATGGCACATTGTTCAATCAAAGTGGACTTATCCAGACTCTCTCTTTTCCGCCATCGAGAACCGTGGCATTACCCTTCGTAGCTGGGACTGGAACAGCCGCTTCTTGGAAACTGATGAACTTGTCGAAATGATGGTGAAAATGCACTCACAGCACGCATTTCAGGGTCTGAAGGAGCTGAAGTTGCTCCATTTCGATAATTCCGATGAAGAAACTTCCGCTGCGAAAGAGGCTGGCCTCCTTGAAGCCCTGGATATGCTCCCGGAGCTTCAGCGACTGGATTTTATTGAAAGCTCATTGGTCAGCGGGGAAGTTCTGACCAATCTACCAAATACTCTCAGTTCGCTCGCTCTGAACAACTGTGATCGATTGTGGTCATCAGATCTCACAGCCTATTTGTCCTTACATGGCACCAATCTCCGAGAGCTCAGTCTAAGTCACAATCGCCATCTCAACATGTCTTTCATCCAAACTCTGGCTCAGTGCTGTGAGAATCTCGAAGTTTTCAAAATGGACCTTTCTATGCATGATGCATCCAGTTACCACGATGTCGAGCCACACTTCGAAGATCTACTTGTCCAAACCGAAGTTCCCACATGGCCAGTAAAGCTCCGAGTAATCGAGCTCACACAGTTACGCAAATGGGACGACGCTACTGCGGAGGTCTTTTTCACTTCGCTGGTGAATGCGGCACCCAAACTTCGTGATCTACGTCGATTGGTCATCAGTGCAATCCTGAAGATTGGCTGGCGTGACCGTGCCAGTTTTCGTGAACGATGGATTGGCCTGCTCGAAAAGGTTTTCCTGCGACGAAGCATGCCACCAGACCTAAACCTCCGCTCCCTTCAGAAACGCTCCCTCAAACCCACCACCTCCATCGCAAGGAATGGCCCCGCTGAACTTGATGCTGGAATTGATGATCCACGGCCATCCACGGCTGATAGTGGCCCATCGACTTCCTCCAAACGTCAAAGCACTCGGCTGGCACATCAAAAAGTCCATGAAACTGACGATGCTGCTAATGGTTCTTCGTTAATGGGGACTCCGCAGCCTGAAGCGGGGAAGATACAGGGAATGTGCGATATTGTGACCATTCGGATCGACAACCAGCGACCGACCGAGCTCCAACTCACAATGAATGACTTTCTAGACGATGAACTCAGTGGCGACGAGGACTGGGCGGGCGATGACTCCTAGTCGACCCTGGAATGTTCGGGGTAATAAGCTATGACAGCAGTACCTTTTTGTATCTATAACCATGTCGTCTCTTGCGCTCTGTCATGCGCCCGGACGGATGGGTTCTTTTTCTTTTTCTTTTTATGCCGATATGTTTCTATGATCTGGCGCTGGGGGATAAACAGGAGCTACAATTCGATATTCTCTTACAATTAATACTTAGCGATTCATGAGAACAACGATTCGGTGCGGAATACATGGTCCCGTTATGTACGTTACGGCATTTACCACTAGGCCATAACAAAAACCAAGGTTCCTGCTTAGGGCTGGGCGGCCATATCCCAGTCTGACATACGTGCATACAACCTTGCATCGTAGCAGTTGTCCGCAGGTTGACTCGGTCTGTGCACGGCGATCAAAGGCCAAGCCCCACAAGATCGTCTTATCGGCGAGTCTCGTTGAACCTCACATCTGTTTATTCCACCACTTTGTTCCCTGTATATTTACATTTTATCAGGTCGGATCCAGATTTTGGATGTCTTGTACTCTTCTTTTCGACATTCTGACATCGGCTGGATCCTGTTAGGCCCGAGATGGCGCCTGAGGCCCCCGCGGACACCGCAGGCCCATCCTCCCCACCACCACAACTCCCAGAAGGCTGGTAAGTCAACACCGGAAATCAAGGAACATACCCGCTGCATTCTAACAATAATAACTGGACAGGCTCCCTCAGTGGGAAGGCGTCGGACGGAAATGGTATTACGTACAGCGGACGACCGGGAAGTCGCAATGGGAGATTCCAACCGAACCGATCGTCCTGACCCCGTCAACAACACCGACGCCGATGGGAGCGGGACTATCGCAAGAGCCAAGATCGCATCCGACAAGCAACAGTACTCGAGAGCTGGAGTCCGTGGACACAACGGCAGGCGGGACGTACTCTGCGGCGGACAGTGCGAGAATTTCCGTAGGGAATCGCGCTCATTATGTCTGCGTAAGCATTGCAAGAATGGCACTGATCGTAGGATAGAGCTCCCTTGACTCCCAGATATACCGGCGGTCGGACAATCCAACTTATGGGTCTTCCGGGGTACCGGGTTGGTATTCGAGTCAGACCGGTCAACACTTGCTCGGCGGATATCAGCAGCAGCTCGCTGCAAACGCAGCCGGATATGGCCCGGTATGTTGAAATGTTCGAGTCTGACGGATTGATTGGTCTTGGTGCTTATCTGTATCCAGAATTCATTGCAACACGGCCCTGTTGGACAGATGAATGGTGTTCAGCAGGCATTTTATGGGAGCCAGACAGATCCGGGGTATCAAATCACGGGTCCACACCACATGGGCCAAAGTATCTCCTCATCAGCATTGGGTAATAATCCAGGTACATATCAGGGACCACCGAGCGGTTACAATATGACACAACATGCACAATCCTTCCAAGGATTTTCCGCTGATCCTGCTGGATTGCATAGCCACCAGGCACCAGCACCTTGGACAATAACTAGCAGCTCACAGGGACAAATGGCAAGGTCAATGGATGGAGCTTCCGATTCCCAGCCACAGTGGCAATTGGAATCACAGCAAGGCCATTTGAATGCCTCTGGTGAGGCTGCCCCGATGAACTTACATCCATCAGCCATGCCTAAGCCCTTCTTTCGGTCTTATACATCCAGCCAGCATGCGGAACCGGCTTCGGAAGAATTCGCTCGCCGTGTCTCGAATGCTTCTCTTGTCGGGGAAGGGCAGCCCTATCAAACTTCCGCGGAGAGTTTTCCCAACCATTCACCCCACTCCATGGTTGAGCAAGGTAGATTCGGACAAAGCCAACCGGACCCGCGTTCCCATTCGCAACATACTCCCTCCGACCCTGCTTTGCAGGGATTCTCACCGCTGCAACATGTACAGAGTCAATATCAACAGCAGCACATGATACGGAAGCAGTCAGGATCGCACCAAGCAAATTTTGCCCAACGCCATCAGCAATATTACAAGCCAATGGCACAAGTCAATGTCAACCAATACGTTTCGCAGCATCAATTTGGTTCTAGCGGTGGGCCGACGGCTTTCCCTGAAACAGTACACGGTCACCAGGCGCCTTACCACCAGTCGAGTCATTATCCCGAGCATCTCGAACATCCACCGGGTGAGACAGGAAGACCTTCGGAGTCGCGTTTTGTCAGTGGGCCATGGACCTCGACACCGCCTTCTCCTGGGCAGTTGTAGGCACCAATTTGTTGTCTATGTCCATCATTATGGTCAACGGGAACACACGATATGATTTCTTTTCTGAGCGGCTTCGATGGACATGTTTATCTTCTGCGTTGTTTGTGTTTCGGTATAGATTCCCGGGTCGATATAATTCGTTACTTCAATTGAGTTTTGTGCCAAATCACATTCTGTCTAACCACCATACATTCCTGTGCCTGAACGCATTACAGCTCCACTACACAATCATGTGTGTTGGGAGATTCTTGGGTGTGGATGTGGAGCGAACTGGGACATCAAGACAGAAAGGTAGTAGTGAACCGAATACTAGGTAGCAAAGAGAGAGAGGAGTATCGAAATTCTCTACAAACAAATAGGAGCTAGCTAATATAGCTAGAGGTGGCCTGTCACAACAAGTGGCATGAGATTCGAGTCGCCAATTTGATGTTAATTCTAATTTCACAATGCCATTTGTGCTCATGTGGAGTGAAACTTGCAGATGACCTGGAGTTATTTTCGATGCTCTGCCCATTTCCTCTGCCACATCTCCTTCTTTCTATAACATCCCCATTATTCCCGGGTCCCCAATCTCTCTTCAACCCTTCCAACGCTTCTTCATCGCGATGGCCACTACCTGGGATCACGAGAGAGATAAGCAGGTAAGCTTGCTCATTTTACAGGGATAGCAGCGATAACACCCGGGATGCGAGTCTTACCCTAGCTGGCCTTTTTTCCTGGTATTGGCAAGGTCTTGGTATCAATGGCTGATGATTTGGCAGTTGCTTGTGGCCATATTGGCCGTCCATTCTCCGCTGGACTTTGCTGCGATTGCTAAAGCGATGGGACAAGGCGAGTATAATACTTGAGAACTATACCGAGGCTGTCACGTCTACAATTCCTACCCTTTTCCCTCCCCATGATCCCCTCTATACTACATTATCATTACACGAACTCATCTGAATGTGTAGGCGACAGCACGTCCACGCTCTGAAAGCCCGCCAAGAGGGAACCTCCAAGCAGTCTCCTACCAAGGAGAAGACCGACAAGCTCACTGGCCGTGGCCGAAAGGCTACCAAAACAACCACCAAGCGCAAGAACGCCTCAGACAACAACACTGGAAAGGATTCCGTTGTCGAGAGTCAGGATGGCGATGGGGATGAATCCTGCCCCAGTCCCACTAAGCAACGCAAGCTCTAAGGGCCGTTGCTTAGAATTGATATTGATTAGCAGATGATGATCATAAATTCCGACATTCATGATGGATTCTACGACATAGCGAGGGAAGAAATAGTTTGTCCTTTAGTCTAGGTCTCTCGGGCACCTTGTTATCTACGTGGTATTCTTGATTTGAAAGACAGTAGACTGGCTATGAACATCCCTTTCAAAGAAGAACATAGATTCCCTTAATTGCATTAGCGCTCTTGGCCTTCCTAATGTGGAATGGACTAAGTCTACATAAAATGTAGCGGTTACGATGTGTGCTGGTGCAGCCAGACTTGCCGAAGGAGATTTGGACATGTTTTTTGCAGACGCTGTATTCCCTCACGCCATATAACAAGCTTACAAGCGTGAGTTTGCTGACCCGAGCGCTATATAATACCTAGGTAGTTGCCATATGTCACGATAATTTGCCGGATAATTTGATCCACCCATGGACCCGACACTATTGGTACCGATGATACTAAAAGCTCTTTTACAAGTACATAGACTCCAGATGTGTTCCATTGTTCATATCTAGGGTTGTTTGGCTTTGGCTGACTAAATGGCACCTTATTATGCTCTTATGAGACTTATCTCTATGGCATCATTTTGGAGGATCTAACTAAGTTGATGGGGTTAGATACCACACCGCTGAATGGCTTTGTGATCCTATATCACATTGGTATTGTAAAGGGTAAGAACCTGGCACAGATCAATCAGGAGACAACCCTTATGCGGCCTGCATACTACCTAGTTAAATTCCTGCGTACATTAAGCATCTGTGGAATACTCAATATACAGATGCACTTGGTGCTTTTAGAGCAAAGTACTACGCCTCTCCTATAGAGATGGTAAGGAAAAGTAAAAAAGAGATAGCAACTTGTTTGTGCCCTGTCGGTAAAACTTGGACTTTTCTATCTCATCCGTTCACTTCTTCAAACTCACTTGAGAAGTCCTCTTTCCCTTCCCTCTCAACTGAAACACTCTCTGCCCTCCATATCTCATTGACTCACAAGTAATCCACCAACAAGTGCATTACTATTCAATTTCCTCTACGGAGAGTATATACTTCTACGTGCGTTCGAACTTACATCGTCTACACGTCATCGCAGTGATACTGACATCGTTTGCTCTAGCCCGCGCGTCGACGAACCGCGACATGAAGATAGCCTGGAACGAGAAGGCTGATGCCAAGGTATATCTCACCTCCCTCCGCGTGATTGATTGGCCTTTCGTTTGTTCCCGTCTTTGATAACCTTGGTGACGGTGTTCAGCCGCGACGTCAGTCTGCCTTGGCTGGACGTTGATGGTCAAGAATGGTCTACGACGGGTGGTATTTTACCGCTAATGGCTTTTGACTTGTCCTTTGTTCCCAAGATTGGCCTGTCTTACCGTCTTCGTTTCGTTTCGATGATTCGACCATCATTCACTTAGTTGTTGGCCGGCATACTTGCTACCAACCCCACTCCCATTGATTTCAATGCCCTCGCAGCGTACATGGGCGATGGTAAGTACTACCCGGAGCATCATCAGTAACTGCCGCCTTTCCCCCTGAACCACGGACTATAGCACCCATCCTCTATGTTGTGCGATCTATTTGTGGGCATTATCCACCTACAAATACATTACGATGGCTTTTCCCACATATCCGGTATCTTGTTTGTTCGTGATATGCGCTGAGCTATGTGCCCGTCTTGTACTATGCACTATGCTAAACTAATTCTATAGGAGTCACTGTCTCCGCCCTCCGCCACCGTGTGACTCGCCTTCGGGCTAAGGCGGCGGAGCCGAATGACGAAAGTGGTACCTCTGCACCTGCTTCGCCCGCGACCAAGCGCAAACGCGCTACTCCGAAGAAGTCTGCCAAGGCCGCTACTACCAAGTCCAAGGAGGCTGATACCGAGTCTGGTGGAGAAGGCTCGGTTCCCAAGAACGAGGACACTGACGCTGGAGATGCGAAGGGCAAGAAGCCCAAGATGAAGCACAAGGACACTGAGGAGTAAGTCCCTGCCATGGTGAGGATGCCAGACGAAATTCAGAGAGCTAATTTTTTTTGACCAGTGATTCCTTCCTTGGCTCCAGCATGTCCAAGGAGGAAGATCCCTCTGACCTCTAAGCGCGGTCACCGCGCTCGTGGTTCCTTCACAGCGGATCCATAGTTCGTCGACATGGTGAGATGTCAAGAAGCTGAGGTATTCGGAATCTGGGGAAGCGGAATCTTACAACTAGGAGGAATACATATGGGGCACACGTAGGGGAACAATTTACAATGGGCTATGATCAGATGGACATACAGCGAATAGCATGAGCTCGACTAGTCGGTTCTCTTTGCTCGCAATACGAGATATTTCCTGATCCACCAAGCTTCCTTTTACTTTGCACGGCAAGAATAGAATAAAGGTGGACGACAAGAGTGTCGATTGTCATTTCAGCTACCTAAGTATGTAGCTTCGATGCGATCCAGATAAATGGGCACCGGCTTTTTTTGGAATTTTTATTTTTTTCATCACCTCATGGTGGAGACAAAGGCAGTTCTTCGTCGACCTTTTTTTTCTTTTTTCTCTTTTTTCTCCTTTTTCTCTGGATGACCGGGTCACACATAAATCGTTGGGGAATAAATCACCCCCAACAACAAAACAAGACGACCCGACAAGGAGCAAAACGCGAATTGAATATCGAAGAATAGACTGGGATCAAAGCGCCGAAATTTCAGGCGTCTGACATGAATCCCTTGACAAATGACCGCCGAGCTACTGGGTAAGCATGTCAGGGTCCGACTCGGTGTCCTCATCGTTGTACTCGGTCCATTCAGGGTCAGTCTTTCCGTTCTCGGCATTGGCTGGCTCTTCTTCAAGCGGCTCGTGGAGAACGGTGTCGATGGCCTCGTCGCCAGGTTCACTCTTGATTGCGGCCTCAGCAAGAAGTTTGTTGTCCTCCTCAGGCAGGTCTTCCTCTTCCTTAACATGGACCTCGTCTTCATTGGCCGAGGCGTCCCCTGCAACGCGCTTGCGTTTGCGGGAAGGGCCAGCAGAAGTGGGGGTCTCGTTGGCCTTCTTGCGGGGCCCACGCTTCTTCGGGGTAACAGGGCTAGAGGGGCCGGAGATGGGAGCGATGCCAGCACGAACGATATGACTGATCTTGTTGAGACGTTCTTTGAGTGCACGAGGTGTCGGTCCATCATCTCCAGCTTAGAGGATGTTAGCATGTCTATTTTTGGTGGTATAAAGATTGGTTGCGACTGCGGGGCGGAGAACTTACGCCACACAGCTGCGACTTTGTTCAGGTCGAGAGAGATGTCATGGGTCTCAAGGATCTTTGCCAGTAGCTGTATCAAATGAGGTTCGTCAGTCACAGTTGTCATTGCTATGTTTCTGTGCAGTCCATGAACGTAGGCCGAGACAGGGAGATTCCAGCAGATTTGGAATGATGGACGAATTCTGAACGCAAACGTGATATAATAATGGCGACCTTGAAACAGTTTGAGATGATCGAATCAAAGCTCAATCTGAAAGGCATTTTGTATGTGATGCAAGAAAGCATGAACCTCCACAGTGCAGGTTTGGCCGGCCCAGCATAGTACAATAGCCAATGCCAATTGGAAAGTGAGAGCAAAGTAAAAAGTAAACTCACAGTTTGATCAGCGAAGGCATCCCACTTGACCTTTCCCATTTTGACGGAGTAAACGGTGTGAAAGTGTGAATGTCTTGCGGTAGATATCAGATAGGATGGATGTGAACTTTGTATGATGCTTCAAGATGCGAAACAAGAACGGTGTTGAAGAGTGCGAGAGAGGAAAGGAAGAGGAAGATGAAAATGCGAGTCAAACAATTTAAAGGGTCCAGATTAATGAGATTAGTCGTAAAGCTCGGCGCTTAGTCGTTGTGAAAAGGAGACAAACGATCTATAAGTGGAATAAGTTTGCCTTTTTGCCTTCCACAAGATTGGAAAGCCCTAAGTGCTCCCCCCTCCTCCCCCCGGTTGCTCCTCTTAGCCCGCGCTCACCAGGAATTTCGGTTGAGAGACCGGGACACTGGTTCGACAAGTCTTCGCTTCCCCATCCTGAAAAAGGAATATGAGAAAGCAACAACAACACATCCCACTTCCGATTTCCGCTAAAAGGGTCCCTATCTTGCAGGTGATATTGCGAACTGCTCTTTGCGGCTCACGATAACATATTATGGTGCTTCCGCACCAGCAAATATACTTGATATAACAAGAGGGCCCTAACCCGAAGCGACATACGATCGTGGACCATCAATAATTGATATTCATACCGAACTGAGTGGAGCTTCATGAAAGACCAATAATCAAAAGCTTATTGAGGCATGGGTATACACATGTTCATATTTACAATGTCTTTACAATGTCTAGCTGTCCAGCAGCACCGGAACCTTCTCAAGCAGATGTTCAACAATAGCATCGGGGCCACGCTCGACCTGCAAGCCCTGGGGAATGGCGTGAAGCTTGATATCAGGTTTAACAGAGCGGGCAATCTGATGGATCTGCTGGGCCTCCTCGGCAGACCACATAGAGGCGCTGAACTATTCAAGATGTTAATTGGAATTCTAGCTCGAGCATGTTCGGAAATATAGAAGTTGGACTTACCAGAACGTCGGGGTTGTGTTTCTTGACCTTAGCCTCAACTTCGTCGATTTCTGTACGAGGTTCGTCAACCCTAATTCAACCCCCAATGACCTTCAATATGCTTACTTTCGCAGTTATCGACGTGGATGATAGTGTACCGATCGCTCAGAGCCTCGGCGACACGGCCGATGAGGCGCTGTGCGCGCTCGGGGGCGGTGTTGACACTAACCAGGCGGAACGGACCTTTAGGAGCAGACATGATGGCGGGATACGGATGATAACTAGAGAAACACGACCATCATGGGGGTTTTATTCTTTTTATTCTCCCAGTTGAAATCGGCCGCGCTCGCCACTTCCCCACATTGTGGGAGGCTGCCCCTCCGGCTTATATAGCGTCGGGGTAGACATACTCCGCTATCGGTCCTGATAGCCCTTATTATATGGGATTTCTGCTTCAACCTACTTGTATCCTCTTTCTGTCCTCCAGTTAATACACCATGTCTAAAGTCGCATCTACCTTTTCGCGTAAGAACTCTCAAATAGACCCCGGATTCCAGACTGACGAAAAATAGGCCTGGTGCGCTTTGTCCCCAAGTCGAACCCCACCAAGATTCTAATCGGAGAGCCCATCGATCTGCAGTTAGATGTCGGATTGGCTCTCTACCAGGGCAAGGAGGTTACGGTGCGCCCGTTCTCCGGTACTTCGGTTCTGAGCCCTGGGCAAGTGACGGACGCGACGGAGGCCATCGCGCGCATTCTGTCCCCTTTGGCGCAAAGCGAAGTCGGAACTATTCGCTGTATTGGCTTGAACGTGTGTTTCCAATAATGAGAGGAACATCCAATGGAAAGGAATCTGCTAAAGCGCACTGTAGTATAGCTCTCACGCGAAGGAGATGGCTCTACCAATTCCCGAAGTCCCGACATTGTTCATGAAGCCGGCCAGCTCTCTGGCGGATCCTTGGCCTGCGCCAACAGTTCTACCTAAGATTACGCAGCAGGATAATACCGGCGACTACGAATCTGAGATGGTTATTGTCATTGGCCGTGATGCTAAGGATGTGTCTGAATCCGAGGCCCTCGACTACGTCCTTGGCTACACAGCTGCAAACGATGTTTCTAGCCGCACTTCCCAGATGAATCAGAGCCAGTGGTCTTTTTCAAAGGGCTTTGACGGCGCATGCCCGATTGGTATGTCCATTGAGGCTGTATGCTATTCAGAAGAATCGCACTGACTCGATATCTATAGGCCCCGTGCTCGTTTCTGCTGCTCTCATGCCTGACGCCAGCAAGCTCCAAATCCGTGGTCTTAAGAATGGCAGGGTGATGCAGGACTGCCCCTTGACGTACGTTATATTTGCTTCGGATTACTTCTGGTATACAAAACAACAGCTGACATTGAATTTAACCGCAGTGACCTGATCTTCAGCGTCCCCCAGCTGATTAGCTTCCTCTCCCAGGGTACCACCCTGCCTGCCGGTACAATCATCTTGACTGGCACCCCGCCTGGCGTCGGTGCAGCTAAGAATCCGAAGGAATTTTTCAAGGCTGGCGACGAGTTTGCTGTTGAGCTGCTACCCCACGTTGGAACACTGATCAACAAGATCGAGCACCAGTAACGAATCCAGCATATAAAATGATAAATATGACCACTTGAGGAAATAGCTCTCTATATATATTCAATGAGACTTTCAATTGCTCTGGCAGCTGTTAAATACTATGTATGCTCTAATAGTGTAAGCCCTATGTGAGGTGATCTTCTACAAATCCATACATATGCTCCCAAGCCTCCTTGAATGCAGACACAGCTAACCCAACACGACCACTAATGACCGTCAAAGCCGTCGGAATGGGCATATTCAATTCCTGGCCCAAGCCACAAGGCAAGGGGATTCTTAAAAAAACGAGTCAACAGCCCATATCAAGAAGCTTTGGCCAATCACAATCACAGAGCTCAATCGGATATAAAATCTTCCCAATACGGAGTAAATCTCTCCCGCCACCCCTGTACGTCCTATACTTGGCATTTCGGACAACTTTGTTGTAGACGAGGGTTAAGTGCTCAGAAAACGGCCAAAAGAATGTGCCAATGGGTAAGCTGAATGGATTTGATGTTTACAGGCTTAGCAGAGTCTTTCTTTTACTCCTATAATGTTACTGTCCTAGTTAATTGTATAGCGTGAACCCTATAGTAGAACTTTAGTTATAGGAATGAATTCGCATTTCTGCATTTGCTTTATAGCGATCGGCTGGAAACATTTAGCCAGAACAGCAAGCCGAACTGTTCACCCGGCAGTTGTCAATTATCTGACATGGCCCGTGGGCCTCGTTGACCCGCGATGGTTCGATTTCAGCGCTACGGGATTATACCGGGTCGGTGTCCCGAGCTGTCACCGTTCGGAATGGTCTGCTTAAAGGACAGTCCCGTCTCTTTTCTTTTGAGAAGAATTTTTGCTAGATTTCCATTGTTGATTCAAAAAAATTTCCCTTTGTTTTCTTCTTTTCTTTTCTTTGCATAAGTATGTTGTTCTTGGCGGATCATTTGAAGTCTGATGCCTCCATACACATTGTGTACTGATGGCGATGTGGTTTCTTGATCAGACGCCAACCAGTCTTTTTGATGCTGCTGTTCTGTACTGACCTGAGATGGTCTCTTTCGCCGATTTTAAAGGCCTTCGAAAATCCCGCAATTTATGTGTGAACCTATATACAACTCGAACCTCCTTGCCGTGTTCAAAGCCGATGCCAAATCTCATGTGAACCCGAACCCGAACCTGACCACTCTATCATACCCACCGATGCTCTAAAAGTCAATCGAAACAATAATCGCGAGATGCCTGAACGTGAAATACCGAAACCGAAGTCAATTTCCATTCCAGTCCCTTACTCGCTACGCCAAACCTTACCCCGCCAGTGCAGGAAGATGGTGGGAATGACACTGACGAGGACAACCAGAGCCGACCCAATGCCCGCGCTGGGAGCAATACCGACTGTCTCGAACATGGGAGCAAACCTAGACCGAGGTTAGCGACGACGTTGCACAACAAACTGGAGGAGAGAAAGAAAAAAATACCAGAAAGGACCAAGGAAACCCCAGATCTGTCGGACAAAGGTGATAAAAACACCAATGTTACCAGCTTCCTGCGGGAAACAATCAATAGCATATGTGATCATAACCGTGGTGACAAGCTGGTTGCCGACAGCGCCAATAGCGGTGCCAATAATGGGCGTGACGTTCCAGTGCCCGCTGGGCGATTCCTGCGTGCAGACCAGGAAGACGATCATTCCGATGATGGTGAGCCCGAAACCGAAGTAGCTGAGCCACAGGCGGAATTCTGGTTCGGCCTTGCCGCCGACGTGTCGACTGCGCCGGCTCATCCAGAAGTCTGACAAAACGCCGCCCATTTGCTCGCCGATTACGGAGCCTATGATTGCGCCTATAAACTGCAGCCCTAGCTGTTCGGAGTTGAGCTCAAACTTCTTTTCCAGGAGTTGGGGAATCTCGACCGTTGCGAGAATGTTGCCAAAGAGGAAGACCATTGCATATGCGCAGGCTGGGAGGAGGATTGATGGGTGTCGAGCCATTGTCAGTGGGCGGACAAACTCGAACCATGAGAATGGTGTGGGGTCGATCCGGCGCAGTGACATGTATTCGATCTTCCTCGCTGACTCCTTGCTATCGATGCCGCTATCCAGATAAAGTGTTTCAGGGCCGAAGAACAGATACAAGATAAGTTGGCCGCCGTTGATCTTGGAGTTATCAGCTTATGGACAGGTTTATTGACTACAATGGGAACGAGAACTTACCATTGCTAGGATCCAGTAGATCCAGTGATAGCCAACGCGGTAGGTGACGAAGCCGAAGATGAAAGGCCCAAGCGGGACACCCAGGGTGATCAGCAGTGTCCAAACACCCATGTAACGGGCGCGGTCTTTCTTAAAGGTCGTCTCCATCACGACCGCACTACCAATAGCGGAGGCAGGCGAGATAAAAAAGGCCACGAGGGCCCGGCAAGCAGCCACAGAGGCATATGTGGTGCTTTTGGCACAGCCGATATTGCATACGAGACTGCAGATCAGAGAAACGAGGAAGATAGGCCGGCGCCCATAGCGGTTGGATAGCGGCTTCCAGAAGAGAGGCGCACCTCCAAGGATCGCAATCTGCAAAGAGGTCAAGTAACTAGCATCTTGCATTCCGATCCCGAGTTCTGTGGAGATGTCCGAATACGCAGGGATAATGCCGGCCGCGGTAAATGTGCCCATGCAAGCGTGGAAGGCCACAAGGATGAGGTTAATCATTTTCTGCGCGTTGATACATCAGTCTTCTGTCCGAGGGGATTTTTCCTTTTGTTTTCTAGCAAGCGGAATATCGACTTACCTTCCACTCAGGCCAGTTGTAAGGGTCAGCTGGACTCATTCCGGGAATAGGATCGAGTTCCAAAGTCCCGTGTCGCTCCATCAGATAGTCTCGGTGTGCTTTTGGCAGACGAGCAGCCATTGACTCGACGTAGGTGGCTGCCCGTCCATGTCCTGCGCTCTCAACGAGATCGATGTCGGCTTTCGTGCCTGGAACTTCCTCGACCTCGTCTCGCCGGGACGAGCTCGGTTGTAACTCGAAGGACGCCATGTTGCTTGCGTTCCCCGGTGAGACAAGTGGAATCAGATAAGCACTCAAAAGCTCGAATTACCCTCTATATATGACCCAAGGCGGTATTGTTGACTGTGGTTGGAATAGCCACAGGGAGCGGTGGGGGAGAATTGAATGAGAGGACTACAGGAAACTGGAGACAATGTCTCAGGGTGAGCCAATTGAGGGCATAAGGGGCGAACAATAATGACGAGAGATCTGGGGGCTTCTGTAGCTCCGCCGGGGACGCGAAAGCAGCGAGGGACTGCTGAATAATGTCCGGATAATGCCAGGTTGAGTGTGCATAATGTGGACAGCTGAGGCACTAATCCCACCCGTTGACAGCGTTCGCCCAGTCGGATCTCCCCTGCGCCTGGGTTGGTATTCTCCGGGGTTCTCAGCGGGTCCTTCGGGGAGGAAATGGAGAGAAAATGGGGATAAAATGGAGAGAAATGCGGAGGCACTCCACGGTTTCTGATTGGAAAGCGTCCGTACCAACCAGTCAGAATGCCGTTAAATAAATCGCTGTCATGGGGTGATGTAAAAGGCATCGCCATGGCACTTGACCACGGCTAGCCGACGAAGCTTTTTACTGTGCAGTATGGCTTCCATCCCGAGCCAAGTACCGAAAGCCTCTGGACTTTGATGTCTTGGCGTAATTTCCCTGGGATCGAGCTATTTATTTTCGCTGAATTCACCGGCCAACCTGGGAAATTGTCAATCGAATACGGGACGGCCTTCCAATGCTTCCTGCAAGCCGCGCAACCTTGCGACACATTTAATGGGACTTGGCCTGAACACCAGGAAGAACGAAGAACATAGTAGCCACACTTCCTTGGCGGTACTGCCATGACGCCTTATTTCCGCTTGAACGCTTGAACGCTTCAAAGGTTGGAGAGTTGACTTGAATTCGAACAAAACCTCGTTGATTTTGGCTGTTCGTACTCCGTACGGTACTTTCTCATTTGTTCGCATAGAGTAAATATACATTTGAACCTGATCTCTGTACGGAGTACATACTATGTACATAGTCTTCAAGATCCTTCAAGTCCTCTGGGGCTGGCAAAATATAATTCCGTGATCGCATAAGCAGTCCCACACCCCACAACCGCCTCCCCACAATCTATTTTCCTTCTCCTCATCGACAGAAATGGCGTCAATGGGGTTAACGACAGCACCGCCTGCGGTGTCAGGAGGCAAGAGACTGGTCTGTCGAGTATGCCAGAAGGCATTCTCCAAGGCTGAACACTTAAGGGTGAGTACACTTCCAAGGCTTCAAATCCGGCTTACCAACGAAAGAGGGACCGCCAATTGATACGAGATAAACTAACGTGTCCTTATAGAGACACGAGCGTGGCCGTATGTTCTAATTTATCAGATCTCCCCAGTTCCTTTTTCATCCCTGCACAAAGTTCAAAAAGAAACACCCAGCTGACCGGAAGACTTAGATACGGGATCTAAACCATATGTCTGTAAGGAGTGTCGAAGGCCCTTTGCCCGACAGGACGCTCTCACTCGCCATCAAAAGCTGCATGCTCGTGGTATAAATGCAAAGAATGGCTCGTCGGAGATTAACTTTTCGCCACAGCCTACCTCTTTAAATTCTCTCGCTTCTTGGGATACGACAAGTGCTTCCACTGCTGATCCGGCGTCAACTTCAGCGACGAGTCACTCCTGGGATGGGTCTCATCCCGGCGATCATGCAAGTGATCATGCAAGTATGCATAATGTTGCCTCCGAGTTAGACTTTGAATTGGTCTGGCCTGATTCGGAAGACCTGTTCCAAAGCTTGATGTCCTCGGATACGACGGATCAATGGCAGATGCCGCTTGGTACCTTGCCTTTTCCACACGTTGTGCAGGGTATGAATGGCATGAGCTCCGGGTCTCCAAATCTGTTCGATGACCGTAGGTCTCCTGTCGGGGCAATACCGTCCGGTGGAGGGCATCAGGCAGTGCGAGATGTCACAGAGATGGTGACAAGCTCGGTGAGTTGAGCATTACATTTTGACAGACGAGGAAACCAGGGTTGTTGGAGACCTCGGTCAAGATACCGTTCGAACCGAGATTAATCGAAACTGACATTCCATTTTCGTAGTCATCCAGTGTTACCGCCGCCGTCAAAGCTACGTCCATAACCTCAGTATTCCTCGACGAATGTCTCCATATGTTCTTCGTCCGCTTCATCCCAACATTCCCAATCTTGCATCGTGCAAATTTTGTTTTCCGCGAATGCACGCATGCTCTCCTCCTTAATGCCATTGCCATCGGCTCTTTGTACCTAGGGCCCAAGGACTCAGTTGCAAAAGGCGAAGCCCTGTGGCGTCTAGCGCATACCGCACTTTCAACTTCTTGGCAGTCCCTGATCGCACATACTGGCCCATATGATGCATGCAAGGGAGTTCAGTTGATGATCACAGCCCTGCTGGGCCAGATATACGGGGCGCTATCAAAGAACCGGGCAATTCGAACCACCAGTCAGGTCTTCCACCCGCTGGGCTTCCTATGGGCAAGACACTGCGGCATGTATGATAGCCCGCCATACTCGATGGACAACCTCCCCTCGATCGATGCCCCCACTGCAGAAAAGGAACGCCAGTGGCGAATCTGGTCTGCGCGGGAGATCCAGCAACGCGCCCTGTTGGCCTACTACATCCTGGACGGGCTTGTTGCTCAAACCTCGAGCGATGGAGCCTCTTCTCGCCATGTGGCAAACTCACTCGGCCTCCCTAGTAGCGAGGAAGCCTTTGACGCCAGCACTACCGATGAATGGTTGACTCATATGCACACACAAACACCGGATCAGTCCTCATTCAAAATGATTTTCCGCTCCCTCTTCCCACCGGTCGGGAGCTTCCGCGCTCTAGAGTACCATTTCTCCGCCTTTTCACTGCGTGTGGTGCTGGAAGGGCTCCAGTCTCTAACCTCCGACTTCGATGACAATGAACTAGCCGTGGGAGTTCCTAGCCAATCAGAGGTCCGGCGAGCCCTAGCCCAAGTTCACGAGACAATATCCATGAGCATCCACTTTACCGCAGCAGAGAGACTTGAAATTCTCCTGCGTTGGCACACAGTTTGCCTAGATACAATGATCAACTCTACCGCCCTCGCCCGCCATGTCTGCTCGCGCTACAACATTATCCAACATGTCTCCGGTGGATGCGGAATCGTCCGCCCGGACTTTGATCTAGTCAAATGGGCTAGTTCAGAAGACGCGCGGCGGGCCGTCCTCCACGCAGTCGCCATCCAAGACATCGTAGAGCAATTACCACGTGGCCGCGCGCACGCCGTTCACATGCCCAGCTCACTGTTTGCAGCCGCAACAATATACGTTGTCTTTTCGCTTGCAGGAGTCGCTACTGTGAATTTGCCTCGCAACATCATTTGGCAAGATGCTTTGCTGTCCCATTCGGATCTAAACCTGGGCCATGTGGATATCCGGCCTCGATCTGGCTCGGAGACAAAGCGCTTTGTTGAGAATGGAAATGGGGCCTCCTCGCTTCCGCTTCCTATTGGTGGTTCTGTTAGGAACCTGTTTTATGAGCTCAACTCTATGCAAAAGCTTTTCCGGTGCTTATCTTCTCAGTGGGGTATTGCGCATGACATGGAAGATAGTATTGCACAATGGATTCAGCTCTGTCATTAGGTGATCCTGCTAGACTTGATCTCCTAGTTGGTGAATGCTGATCACATGGAATTCTGCTCGTCTTTGGTGCTGGTGGAGGTGTTCTAGGGAATTCTCATTGGGTGACACGTTGATATTCGAAACATCGATATATACCTATATACCCCTCATATCGAATGTGAATATCTAATTTGAAGAAAATTCTATGCAATGGCTGCCAAGTTTGTACGAATATTCTCCAGCTAATCAATGATGCTGTGAACTTTTGTGCAGAAGCGCTCGAGCTTCCGGCGAACTCTGCTGCATCATGTGTTAATTTAGGATTTGCTCTGGATAAAATCATTGAGTTATCCTCGTCTCCAGGTCTAAATCCAATTGCCTCGTCAGTGAGCTTCTAATATGAGTCAGGCAACACTCTTCATAAGAGGAAATATGCCCGAGATTGTTCCCAGATGGAAGGAACTGCTGATAGTACAAAGCCAGCTCCTGGCTCGGGTGGGCGATTGCTAGTTCTTTGCTAGTTCTTCTGGCACCGGTCTTGCGTAGTAACTAACAGTGGATACCTCTAGGCGGTTCGACTTTCAATAGCAAATCTGCCGAAGACATGGGAAAGCATAGTTCCATTGTAGTTGATTTAGGGTTGTCACTACCTGTTTCACGTGCTCTGCCTTTCATGCAGGGTTGTCCTCGTGCCGCTGCTGTGCCCTAATTTTGTGATGTATAAGGTGTATCTAGATAAGTTAGTCCTACCACCTGTTTAAAACGCTGCTTAGGTTGTCAAATAAACTCTGTACGTATTGTTTACCCGAATTCTCACTGGCAATGATCTCAGACAAAGGATTGTACCCGATCCTAAGACAAATTTGTGCCTATGTACATGCTAAGCAGACGTGATCAAAATATTTCAATAATGAAGAAATACACACGAAAAAGGACCGAACCTTGTAACCTACATTAATCAATTTGTGATAATCACGTGTCCACCCCGAAAACGCGGGATAGACGCGACGCGACGCGTCTATGACCTTTCCGACCCACTTCGAGTCTCATTTACGCTGCTTTTAGCAAGACCTAGCCACTGACATTCTTATTCTCCTTGATCTGTGGGTCCAGCCCTGAGATATCCATTCATATTCAAGCCAAGTGATTTCGACCCGGTGGCAGCGTGGCGTCCCCATGCGAAACAAGACCAGATGATCGTCAATCAAGTCTAAGACCCCACAACCCGGCATCGGCTCGAGCGATGTCTGCAATGGATCTTACATCAGCTCGTGGCACCAAACTCAGCGATATAGTAATCGATCACCGCCCCAGCACAGGCCGTGGCAAGAGGCTTACCCTTGCGCAAGAGGGCATTCTGAGGAGACTCTATGAACAAGAATTGCCCTCTGTCCCCAGTGGTGAGCTGCCAGTGAAAGGGTTCTGGGTGAATCTGGCGTCGCGGTTTCGCGAGCAGACCGGTCGCGAGTATTCATGGTTATCTGTGAAGCGGCGGGCGGCAGGTTGGCGTCAAAAGCCTCTAGAAATTGACCGGCGTCTGGATGCTAGCGAGCTTGGGGTTGGGGATTCGAAATTTGAGCCTCGTCATCGAGATATTGCTCGTGAACTGCCATCGCAGCAGGATTCACGCGACAGCGAACAGTCCACGCTGCCACCGATCAAGCCTTCCCCGGAGCAGCAGGATTCGAACACCCTGGAGTCGTCTGAACTTGAAAAAGGCCCCGGTGTCGGCGACTGGTTGCAGCGCAGTTGCTTTTCTGGCGCCACAGACCCAAGCCCGGACACCAGTAAGAAAGTCAGATCCCCTCGCATGGCTCAACCCCGCCCCCGATCAAAATCGACCCAACGTGTATCGCACCCTGGATATCGTGGCCGATCTCCGTCAACGACGAGACGCACCAAAATTATCTCCAGACGATTACATCGCCAGCTGGCCTCTTCGTCCGGCTCCGCACCGGCTGATGAAGATGTGCAGCTCAGCCATCTGAGTACACGAAAGCCACCTGAATACAACAGTGTCGTCGAGTCGGTGGGGAAGGACGAATCGGAGAATCACGCTCGTCAGCCAGCAAGATCTAAGCGTGGAGAGAGTAAAGTCAGCAACGGCCTTCCTGCGTCGCCACACTTATCTGAGCAAGATGACTTACCACTGGCCCCAATTCGAATTAAGAGAAGGCGTGTTGCAAAATGAGCGGGCCCAGCACTGCCCAGAGGAATGATCGAAATACGATGGACTCGCATATGAGCACTGCTTAGAGATCACAGTGACGTGTGACGGCACAAACGAGGACCTGGGGATGAAGTCGCTTCCTGCCTTAATACCCAACTGCATACTGCCCTTCCCCCAACCAACGCCCTGAATGAGACAAATATCACATTGTATGTCTATTTTGATGAGAAATGAGCCAATATGCCATGCGGCAAATCTAAATGATCTTAATTTTCTAATTTATACATCTTATCCCTCCCTAGCTCCGGAAATCTATCCTAGGTGCATAATTAGAGCAAAAATATAGTTACGATCCATAGATACATAGAGAATAGCGTATCATGTACTAAAAAGAAGCTAGATTAACAGGTCATCTGCATTGGAAGAACATCTCCGAGTTCACTCTGGGTATGCTTTCATTCAGAAACACCCACTCTCCATCTTTGTTTTCTTTCTCTTCTTCCGGATCTGTGAGATATGCCAGCCTTCACAGCGGCCCGTCCCACTCAAATAGGAGTTGCCACCGTAGCGGATGTTGTGCTCCAACCCGCTGTAGAGCTATTCAGAGTCACTGTTGATAGCTCGAAAACCTTTGAAGGGGGGTGCACATGAATTCGCCAGAGAAAAGCAACGGTCCTCGTCGCTCGCCATGACATATCGAACGCGTCGTGCATACACATGAACAAAGGGGACGGGAAGCTCGTAGTTCTAGGACAATAAGAAAGCACTCATTGGTTCTCTGTTGATGAGGTCTGAGTCCAGGTACCGACCTAGGTACGTACATAGGTACGGAGTAGACAGGGTACACTCAGATCGCTGGGTGTAAATCACCCGTCAGTCCCGTGACTTTCTGAACCCCCTCCGCTGGATTTTATCCTTTATCTCCATGAAGATATTACGGGCATCAGCCCAAACAAATGTAAAGCACTAACTCTTGGTGACTTTGTTATGAATACTGCCACCTATAAGCGCGCTCCGGGTGCTTAAATGCGGTGATGATGCAGATACATTTCCGGACATTAAACCAGCAAAGTACACAGCTTGATAGAGCAATCCATCGTTTCGTTCCCAAACAGTCACATCTCATATCATCTGAACGGGGTCCGGATCACAGACCTGATGCTGAACCTCCTTGGTCCTTGGCAATGGCGCAAACCAAGATATGTCGATGCAATGCTTCAGCGCAATGCGCATCATGTCGGTCGATTTGGCCCAGTCTCCCCAAAAATTCCAGAACCAGAAGCAACCAGCTCTCACCAAGCTAAACTGGACGGGCAATCCACAGCCCCCAAGTCTTCAATCTACACCTGATCAATTCGACCATCAAAGTTGCATTTGCTCCAAAAGAAGGGCACTTGATGACTTCCCGTCCAATAGTTATCCAGTGAATACGAGCATTGTCCCGCTCGCACCCCTTGGCACCTTGGCATTCAGGTCAACCAGCTATAAATCCGGGCGTATCACTTCACTAGGGCACAAAACGAATCATTTTCACGGCCAAGGCACCTGCTCATAAGCTGATACCCGGCCCTTGTTCTATTTTATTTTATTTTTCTGGTTTTCTTGTTTCTTCTGACGAACAAATTTGAATGATGAGCTGACATGAAATTTTATTTTGATACCCTATGAACTGATTCACGATTTCAAGAGCAATGTTACTCCGTCACCCTTTTCTCACAATCCTGGCCTTGCTAGCCGTCCCAACGCGGGTATTATCACGAAAGGGAGGCGATAGCTCTAGCAGCGACAGCGAGAGCGATACCAGTAGCTCCGGCGGCTCCAGCGGGTCTAGTGACCCCGGTGATAGTGAAGACACCTCTTCATCAACATCGACATCCTCGGGCGGACTGCACTGCTCCGATACCCACCGCCTCGACTTTGACGATCTTCAACCTCCGCACTACTACCAATACAACCGAGCACCACGCCGTGGCCATGCTAGTGCTTACAGCGACTGGGATGGCGTCTTCTTCAAGGGCGAAGCCAGCCTCAAATACACCATCATAACACCACCAAACAATTTAACAGAAGGCGACATCGCTAGTTCATCTTTGATCACATGTCCATTTGGCACACAATCCACGCGCATGCTGGGCGCTGCCTGGGTCGGTGCCAAAGCTCCCACTCCCGCGGGACCCGTCAATCCCTTCACGTTGGGCTTCAAGGCCTGGGAGAGCAACGTACGCGTCTCGGATATCGACTATTCATACAGTGTATGTGAAGACCTAGATCTCGTGCAACTCACCACAACGGTGGACTGGTACAATGGAGGTTCAATCGAGAAGGCCATGGATGCTGTTGCATTAAACATAACCCAGGCGGCGGGAAACAGCAACAAGATTCTGTTCGACGGGGTGTATGATCTTAAAGACTGGGCAGATAGTGAAAGGAACTCCATCCAAGCAGCAGAGTATGACAACTCGGGTCTTCGGGGTCAGATGATTTCCCTTCCGGATAGTCTCTGTTCGGAGGGGAGAAAGTTGGGCAAGATCCTTATTGGATGGCCCACTGGAACACACATCAATGGGTCTATGACGAATGAAACACTTGAGTTGAATTTCTCTGGCTTGACAGTTGCTGGGTTTGAACATGGTTCACCATTCCCAGACACCGACACAAAAGTAAATGTGACTTTTGAATTCACATTCACGGGTAGTTTTGATGCTGCAAATTCCTCGCAGGTGGTTCTGCCAGGAGCGTCGAGCCACAATACATCCCTAATCAGCTTTGAGAGGGCGACCGGTAGTGCTACTGTGGCAAGTCTCTCATTGCATTGTGTACTAATGTCTTTATTGGTCAGTCTTGGGGTGATGGTTGTATGAGCGTACAAGTTTGAGAGTAAATATATCACGATATCACGCATAGCAATTTATTTTCCCTCTTTTCCACTTCCTTTCGTTGTCGTCATGTAAAAGCCGCAAGAACAAGCAAATTTATCTACAATTTATCCTCCACCTTCTGCTAGCACCACAATAGGCTCTGACATCACTGGGATACATACTCCGTACCCATATATCAAACCGAAGAAGCCGCAAATATTAATCAAATGGTTAATGTCCATCTTTGCCCGAAACAATTCCGTAGCAAGGACCATTCTTGCTAAACATGGCCCGCACGTCCTGAACGATAGAGTCTGGAACCTCCCAAGCGGCAAAGTGACCTCCACGGGGATGCTCGTTCTGTTGGACAATCGGGCCCAGGCCAGCAGCCCAAGAGCAAGGAATGATGGAGATTTCCCGAGGGAGGTGCGCGATTCCCAGCTTCACACGCGGGATGTACGAAATCAACTCCTTGTATGACTTCCCCTCGACCATCTCGGCGTGAAAGGCTTCATAGTATATGCGAACACTCGCCGCGGGGCCGGCTGCAGAAAACCAATAGATAGATATCCAGGTTAGGATCTCGTCGTCGGTCCAGGGATATGAGTCTGTCCAGTCATGCAGCTTCTCGTAAATCCAGGATAACAAGGCAACAGGGCTATCTTCTAGTGCCGCGCCAATAGTCTGCGGCCTGGTGCTCTGGAGTTGATTGTAACCGTAGCCTTCTCGTTCGAACCATTCACTCCTCTCGCTGCCTGCCTTTTCCCGGTCACTATACGGCAGTAATGCGTGCTGCAGGGCTAACCATGGGTTCTCGGTAAATCGAGGGGGATTGGCCAGCACCATGTTGACATGGGAGGCTTGGCAGTGCTCCGGGTATAGCAGACCGATTGTTCTAGTAATCCAGAAGCCCCAATCTCCGCCCTGTGTCACTGTGCGTATAACTAAGTTATTTTCGGGTGTGGCTGGTACATTACGGTTCTTTTCGGGCCATACCATACTGATCATAGCCCAGCTTGATCATGAGCTTGTGCAGGGTTTCTGCATACTGTGCAAGTCCAAACCCACGACGAGTCACCCCCGAAGAGAAGCCGAAATTGGGAAGCGATGGAGCCACAACGTGGAATGCGGGACTATTGTCGTCGCCCTTTAGCATCGGTAGCAGCTTTGTCACTTCAATGAACGACCCCGGCCCTGTAGGTAGAGATTAGAGTCCGCAGTGCGATAGAAGAGAAGATCGATACTCACATCCATGACTAAAAAGCAGTGGAATCGCATTCTTGTTCTTGTCGATTTGGTGGACATCTACATGTTGAGCCCGGTGAATATCGAACCCTTGAGAATCCGTACCCAAAACTCACAGTGGATATCCAAACTGCCAAATCCATCTACCTCAATCTGCGTTTGATATTGGGGCAGCTCATTTAATTTGGCTTCTGCCTTCCGCCAGTCAAAGCCGGCCTTCCAATACTCTATGAGTCGCTGTACTTCTCTCACAGGAGTCCCAAAATCCCAAGGATCTTGTTCGGAGGACTCCAGCTGAGTTGCGAATTTGGAGAGTGCTAGGCGTTGCTGAAGGTCTTGAAGACTTTCATCAGGTACGGAAATCTTGTACAAATTTGGTTGATCGGTCATAATGAGATGATTTTATTTCGACGAAAATTAGAATCTGATGAGGCAGCAGCGGAGGCGGGGGTTTTGAGCTTTGGTGAGATGAAGTCGGCTAGTTGGGGGCCAGACCTCGACCAGTGATAGCTTCCGACACACGTCTAGGTAAGACTTCATCCCCTAAATTGTACAACAGCTAGATAGCAATCACGTTACTACAACTATTGTCCTCACATCAACTCATACCTTCAACGCGGCCTATCTTGTACACCAGCGGTCGGTAATCGTGGTATTGGGGGGTTGGCCTTCACCGCCAGTGATCCCCGGGCCTCCTACACGCCACCTGGACACGCCTAACGCAGTACCAAAGTCGCGGTATACAACTAATCTCAGTGCCAGCTACTGAACTGAGGTTTGTCAACTTTACTTTACATTCATAAAGTCTCTATCTCTATGACAATTGCTCCAATCTAATATGCGTGAGACTGTCTCACCAGTTAGCAGTGAAAAATAAAGGGACAAGTTGCAAACGATTTTGCTGTAAGCAAAAGCCATGATATTTAAGGGGCCATGGTGGCTGGTGGCCTTGGGCTGGGGGTTGGCGGCTGGGGGTTGGCGGGCATAACTTCCTGAGTCCGGGGCCTTCGGCAGAGGTCCCTGCCAACTGGCCCCTCGAAAGCACCAGCATCAAAGGCCCGCCTCCAGTGGCGCCCGCCAAGGGCACCTTCCTCCCCCAACCCCGCCCCTTCCAAAGTGCCCCCCTTGGGTTGGCCGGGCCCGGCCGCGGGGCCCCGACCCGTGGACATGAAACCCGCTTAGTCAGCAAACAGCTTGCCCCCGGTATTTCCCAAGGTTCCCCGATGATCATGGATCCAACTTTCCATACTTGCCATTCTCCCAACACGAAGATCGGAACATGTTCTCTCTCAGGGCGGTCGCACGTGGTGCACCGGGCCTCCGGGCCTTCTCCACAGCCCGTATGCTGCAGTCCGAGTTGGCATATCAAGTCTTTGGCCCGGAAAACGGCCAAGTCGTCCGAGACCCCATCCTGATTCTACACGGACTATTTGGATCAAAGCAGAACAACAGAAGTATCGGCAAGTATGTTTTGTGACCGGATCTCTAAAACTCCTCTATCCTAACATAGCTATCAGGGCTTTGGCACGGGATCTGAAATGTCCGATCTTTGCACTGGTAGGTTTCCGCTTGTCCCTGGAAAGAGAGGAAAAAGCGTAATTCGAGGATGCTGAACAGACGTAAACAGGATCTACGTAACCATGGCCATTCTTTCCATGCCCCCGAGCACAATTACGGTGCCATGGCAGAGGATGTGCAGGAATTTATCAAGCAGCAGAAACTGGACAAATGCGTCCTGATCGGGCATTCCATGTACGTGATCATATTCCCTATGGCAAGCGCAGCTCAAGCTCACGAATCATTTGTCTCGTGGCTCTTCTCATACTAACTATTGGTAAAGGGGTGCCAAAGCTGCAATGGCGGTAGCACTGCGCGCCCCCGAACGCGTGTCAGCTTTGATCCCCGTTGACAACGCACCGGTGAACGCCGCACTGAAGAGCGATTTCCCCAAATATGTTCGCGGCATGCAGAAAATCGAAGCTGCGAAGGTATCGAAGCAATCAGATGCTAACAAAATTCTCGAGGACTACGAAGAGGTAAGGGGTGTTCATCTTTTTGACAACTAATGGGTGAAAGCGTGGGGGTCGACGAGCCTGACACTCTCCGGTAATGTTCGGCATGCTAATATTGTCCAGTCTCTTCCAATCCGCCAATTCCTTCTCACCAACTTGATACGCTCCGAGGAAGATAACACACTTAAGTTCCGAGTGCCGCTATCTATCATTGGCGGTTCATTGGATCATATGGCCGATTTCCCTTTTAAGGAATCTGATAACCTCCGATACAACGGTCCGACGCTCTTTGTTCGTGGCACAAGGTCTAAGTATGTTTCGGACGACACGGTGCCGGCCATCAAGAAGTTCTTTCCCAACGCGCAGATTGCGGACGTCGAAGCGGGTCACTGGCTCATTTCTGAGAACCCTGAAGCATTCCGTCAAGGTAATTGCCTCTTCTCGACAATAATTAATAGTATTTTATGCTTACACGATGATAATAGCGGTCGTGAAGTTTTTGGGGTCGACATAATTGGGGCCCACATTATTGGGGTATATTCGGGTAGAATATAGGTCACGTGATTTTAGAGTTTAGACGTATGTGTAGAGAATTCCATGTACAAAATAATAATTCACCCGGTGGTGTGCTGAGTAATATATAATATCGGTTTGAGTAGCAAATCGCCGGTCAGGCTGTCAGCCTATCGACCGAGGGGCGAAAAAGGTACATAATAATGCTTCCTTTAAAGCTGGCTCACGTAGGTATCGATGGTTCACGTGGGAAGTCGTAATTCGAGTCTGACGGAAGGGGAAGAAGAGGCCCACAGGGATAATTGTGGAGAAGATGAGATACATGAGATCAGGTTTGGACCTACTCACTCTCATGCTTGTTCCGCCTTCGCTTCTTGCCTGGTCTGCTTGAAGACGGGGAATTCTCTTCTGCTTGCTCCGCTCTATTCTTTGCCTTCTTCTCCTTCTTTCTGCTGGGGCCCGGAGCAAAAAATGACGGGCCAGGAGAGCTAGGAGCCGGCGAAGACTCAACCACCGAAGAGGATTCGGCCGTGCTTCTTTCGTCATCAGAGTCTGTTACAGAGGACACCCGTCGCTTTCCTTTTAAATGTTGAACCTGACGGGGTTCAGCGAATTTGCCAGAATACAGCAATGGATGACCGGTGCTGGGTCCACTAGGCGTTTGCGAGGGTTGTCGAGCTTGCATGGCAGTGTGATTTGACTTCGAAACGCTTGGTAGGGAATTGTCGGCCTGACCATTCACGTTGAGCTCGACTGGCTGGTATTCACCCAGAGTAGGGCCCGTGGGAACAGTCCTGGGTGTCGCTGTAGGCTTCGGAGCAAAAGCTCGGCCGTTCGGGTCGGATCGAGGAGTTTCTTGTCCATCGATGCGCTCCTCCGTTGGTGGATCGAGAATATCGGAGATCGTTGCTCCTGCTCGAAGCGCCTTGAAAGTGTCTTCAGCAGTCCTCAGACGTTTGATGTACATCTTCACCTCATCCCCCTGCTCAGTAAATTGCTCCAGTGTCACCGGTGGCTTACGGTCTTCAAGGGCTTTCACCTGTTCCCGGAGTTCGTCAAAATCTGCATTCTCTGTCTTTTTTTGGTCCTTCAAATCTTGCAGCTGTCTCCGGAGTCTGTCGAGAGCTTCGTCAGTTTCGCTCCGGCCTTCCAGGCTTTCCAGTCGTTCCCGAATCGCGCTAAGGCTTTTGCACGCGCTAGCGTTTCTCTCCGCCGCGGCTTTAGTTAACTCGTCAATCGTTCGTCGAATCTCTCCGAGCTGCGAGATGTGAGTATCGACCTTATTGGCCAATGGACCGATCTGCCTCGTGGACTCGGTGATATATTTAAACGCTTCAATCTGTTCCAAGGCCAGGTGAGATATTCCGCCGATAGTGTCGTCTTGAGCGGCGACCTTGTTCTGTAATTCACTCCGTATTTCAAGATTTTTCTGCAACTCATCACTATGCTCTTGGATGACACGCTCGATCGGGGCAAGCTTGTCGGAAAGGTCTTTGACCTGTTGGAGCAAAGTCGGCAACTGAGTTAAATTCTGCAGCTGCTCGGGTGACACTTGTGATGCTTGAGACCTCTCCACGCGGGCCTGCGCGTTTTGTGCGTCTGCTTGAGCCTTTTGCGTATCTGCCTTGAATCGGTTCGTCTCTGCCTTGAACGTCTCCGTATCCACCTTGAACGCGTCTGCATCTGTCTTGAACGCAGAAATTCTGGCTTCAATTTCAGTTCGGTAAGCCGTCAATTGTTGACTCAGTTGATCAACAGAGGGATACATTTCCTGCATGGCACGTGCCATGGAATTGACTAAATCGCCTGTAGTGATGTTGGACCATCGTGTTTCTAGTGACCGAATGCCCCTGGAGATAGACTCAATTTTACTCTCGCACCTAGTTACAGCCTGAGCAAGGTCGGAGACTGGAGTAAGGCGGTTTTCGAATCCATCTAGTCCACTTTGAAGGTGGTTTCGGAGGCGCTCCAAGCTCCCAGGCAAGGATGCCCTAAGTTGGTGAAAGGCCTCGCTGAGCGTCGTCTGATTGTTTGCCATTTCCACAGATTTCGTCGTCAGGTCCTCCACCTTTCCTAAAGTGTCATCCTGTCTGGTTTCCAGTGATCTTTGGCTCGACTCTTGACTCTGGCGTAAAGCGCCCAGCTCAGCTACACGGATGACATCCACGTCCTGATGGAGGTTCTTAATATTGTGGAGGAGGTCTGCGTGGGTCTGGACTCTTCTCTCCAGAGACACCACTCTTGTAAGCACCCCGCTGTGGGGAGTTGGGGTTGCTTCGGATGAGCGCCGGCCGCCGTTATCAAGGCTTTGTTGCTGGGTTCTGAGTGAGGTCAGGAGATCTTCTTGGGCGGTAATCTGCTCCGTGGCCTGCCTCTTTTGGGCTTCCAAGTCAGTTTCAATCTGTGAGATTTGAGTCGACGCGGTATTGTTCAGATTATGTCGCTTAGTATTAAGCGAGATAAGATCGCTTTCAATGGAAGAAAGCTTGTTCTCAACCTGTTCATTCGTAGTTTTCAATTTGCAACCAAGATCCGAAATGTTGGTATCAAGCTGCTGGTTCGAGATTCTGAGTTCTTCCTCGACGGTGTCGACCATCTTCTTAATGATAGCAATCCTATCATTAAGCTTCTTGTCGGCAGCCTTCACTTCATCCCCAAGGCTTGAAATTTGGTTCATGAATCGACCACTCCGTTTAGATTGATCATTTACGGAGTTCGCAATCTTCTCCACGTATTCCAGCGCCTCCTTCAATCCATTAGGGTTCTCGAGAGCATGCTGCACTTTGCCCAGCTTGCCTTTAATCTCATCGATATCTTGATCCCGGCTTCGGATGTCCGTTTGGGGTCCTCCGATTTCGGTATTGCCTTTCGTTGGGTTATCACCGTTGACGGTTGGGCCAGGGGCTTGACCCATTCCCTTGATTGTGGACTCCAGATTCTCGACCCTCTCAGGTATCTTTTCGAGTTGGGGTTGAGGCTTCAACTGCGACAATGTCGAGTTAAAACTATCCTGCGCCTTATTGGAGAGTGATCGATACTGGGCGATCGATTTGACATGGTTGGCCAATTCATCTTTGGCCGCGTCCAGCTGTTGCTGGAAGAGAGCGATGACGCTCGGAAATTGTTGATTTTGCTTCGCTCTCTGTAGGTTTTTGGTGATAGAACCTATTTCCCTTTGGAGTCGCTCTTTGTCTTCCTCGCATTTGTTCAATTTGATCAATGAGTTGACCAAATCTGAGATGAACAATGCGCCTTGGGGACTAGGTGCACTTTGGTTTTCTGTGGACGTAGGGCCCAGGGTGCTATTCGGGGTCGAGAGTGGAGGCACCTGTGGAACCGAGTTTGCAGGAGGTCTCTGGATGAAGAGGTTTAGGTGTGCCTGTTGGGCATTCGACGATTGAGGATCAACTGATTGCCTAACGGTACCGGCAAGCCGAGGATCTTGCACCTTGGTCGGGGGGGCAACAGACGGGAATCGGCCCGACAGTCGCTTGGGGGGGGGATTGGGGTTAGGAGGGTCAACATCCATTCTGCTGGCCATATTCCCTGGAGTGAATGTAGTGCAAAATACTCATCGTATTTGCAAGACCTGAAGTGTGGTGTTTCAGAGCTCAACTCATAAGATGCAGTCTGCCCTGAAGTGCTAGAATTCACGTGTTCACCACGCGAAATCTTGGAAATCTTAGCCGTCAGGTACGGCGGACGTATTGTTGAAAACGCCTAGTCGGTTCCCCCTGATGTAGTCAAGGGAACCGAACAAGCCAGATGGAAAACGTGATGAGCACCAAACTTGTGAAATCGGTTCAAGCGATGCAAATACCACGAGTGGAAATGAAGTCAGACGAGTTTCCATTCCTTTGAGAAATTATTCTGCCGGGCGGTAATGGTGCAGCAGTCCGCCCTGGCTCTCTCTTCTTTTGCTTTTCTAGAGCTTTGTCGCATTTTACGAACATAATCCTCCAGTTTAAGATACATTCCACCCTGGATATTTCGAAATATGGCTGTAGTGAGTTACAATTGTTCTATACTGTTTTCACGGTTGCTGACAGCAAAACAGCCGATCTCGACTGTCGCAGAGAGCAAGGAGCTCAGAGGACTGAACCTCATCGCCGCCCATTCGCATATCAGAGGCCTCGGTGTCGATGCAGACACTCTTCAACCTCGCACATCATCCCAAGGCCTTGTTGGTCAGGAAAAGGCTAGGAAGGCCGCCGCAGTGATATTGCAAATGGTGAGGGAAGGCAAGATTGCCGGTCGCGCCGTTCTGATCGCAGGACCTCCCAGCACTGGAAAGACAGCAATTGCAATGGGCATGGCACAATCTCTCGGACCGGACGTACCTTTCACCATGCTTGCTGCTTCTGAAATTTTCTCAATGGAGATGTCGAAGACAGAAGCTCTGACCCAGGCATTCCGGAAGTCCATCGGTGTGCGCATTAAGGAAGAGAGCGAAATCATTGAGGGTGAAGTCGTGGAGATTCAAATTGACCGGAGTGTCACTGGCGTGAGTGGATTCCCTTCATGGAACGAATTAATAGCATTGGATACTGACTACCTGCAGGGCAATAAACAAGGAAAGCTCACGATCAAGACTACGGACATGGAAACGATTTACGATATGGGAACCAAGATGATTGATTCGATGACCAAGGAGCGAGTAATGGCAGGAGATGTGATCTCGATCGACAAGTCCTCAGGCAAGATCACGAAGCTCGGTCGGTCATACGCACGCTCCCGAGACTACGACGCGATGGGCGCCGATACCAAGTTTGTCCAATGCCCTGAAGGCGAGCTTCAGGTTCGCAAGGAGATCGTCCACACCGTCAGCCTCCATGAAATCGACGTCATTAACTCGCGTTCACAGGGCTTCCTGGCCCTCTTCTCCGGCGATACTGGCGAGATTCGGAGTGAAGTTCGGGACCAGATCAATACCAAGGTGGCTGAATGGAAGGAAGAGGGCAAGGCTGAGATTATTCCTGGTGTCCTGTTCATTGACGAGGTCCACATGCTCGATATCGAGTGCTACTCCTACATCAACCGTGCCCTTGAGGCTGAGTTGGCCCCTATCGTCATCATGGCTAGCAATCGTGGCCAGTCACGCATCCGCGGAACCACCTACACCTCTCCTCACGGCCTACCCCTTGATTTCCTCGATCGGGTTGTTATCGTTAGCACACAGATGTACTCTGGTGACGAGATCCGTCAAATTCTCGCCATCCGAGCGCAGGAAGAAGAGATCGATCTTTCGCCTGATGCTCTCGCCCTTCTCACCAAGATTGGTCAGGAGTCAAATCTGCGTTATGCCAGCAACATTATCACTACTTCACACCTCTTGAGTCAAAAACGCAAGGCCAAGGAGGTCAGTGTTGATGACGTCCAGCGCAGCTTCCGATTGTTCTATGACCCCGCTCGGAGTGTGAAGTTCGTCAACCAATATGAACAGCGCTTCATCGGTGATCAAGGTGCTGTTAGCTTCACTGCTGCTACAAATGGCGACGCCATGGAGCTTTCTTAATTTGGTTACATGTTTCAGTACTGGGCTATTCGGTGGGCAGTTAAGCGGGTCGAAAAAACTACACTGGATCTTGATTTTTATTTTTTTTGTTGCATCAAACGATGTATGATAGGACTGGCGCTTGTTGAGTTGATTTGGCCTTTTGAGATTCAATTGCAGTCCTCCGTTCTGGAGGATCTGATATTAATATTTCATTCATCAATAGTATTTTGTGTAGCCAAAGTAATCGTAGCTGCCCAGGTGATACAGGGGGATTATTACGAGAAATTGACAGTGCCGCTCCACGGCCCTGAATCTCCAACTTGACGGAACTCGACACCTTCGCCAAAGTAGCCCGCATTCTTCCATGAGTCCATCATCGTGCTATCATATGGCCCATGGGCATCCCCTCCATCTCTAGCGTCTGACCACCTATATTCCCACATGGCCGGACCTTGCTCAGTCACTCCGTTCGCTGGAGGGTCGACCCATTCCTCACCGGTGTCGTTGCGATACTGCCGTGTGATCATTTCGCGCTCAGTGTCATAGATATCTATTTGACCGCGGCCCATCAAGATATCTGCGGCGCCAGTAAGAGAATCAATTGCCTTCTTCCGGGCCACCTCATTGGGTTCCTCATCCGTCATCTCGATATCCTCGACGGCGTTCTTCTTGTTCTTCTTGTTTTGCCACTTAGGCTTTCGGCGAAGGCCTTTGCCCAGTCGGGCCAGTGCCTCAAGTATTGTTTCGCCACGTTCGAGGTTGATGATAATCGTCTTCAGGACATCCGCCGTCAAAATGCTATCGTCCATTCGGTCCTTCTCTTTGCGCTCTGCGTCGCGTTGCTCAGCAGCCTCTTTGGCCTTCTTGATATCCTTCTTAGAAACACCCTCCAACCACGAGTCGTAGGCTGCGTCGGGGTCCACTGCTTTGCGGACATAGTTGCCTTGGTCGTCGAATCGACCCTCCTCTTGTTCTGTTCGCATGTTGAAAGCATCCAGGAGAGGTGCGTGCTTTTTCTTCCCACCCGCGCCAAGTTCCTCGTCCACCACTTCGTCCACTCGTGCGCGTTCCTCTTCCCCAACTTCACTGCCACTTTCCTCGTCATCAATTTCGGCTGCACCCATGCTCAGATCGACATAAAGCGCTGCTCCGCCTTTCGAAGAAGCAACTTGGCCCTCGATCTCGTCGTCTCGTAGGAAGCGAACGGACTTTTTGTTCTTGTGTATAACCTGGTCGCCATCGACTTCCTCTTCGCCGAAGTCCTCTTGTAGCTCGGCAAACATATCATCATCTTCTGCATCTTGCCGGGCTTGTTTGCGCGTGGATTTCTCTTCCGTACGAGCAGAAAACCCCTCGTTTTCGCTGTCTGAATCGTAACCCTCGAGATTGACCGCCTTGCGTCTTATTCTCTGGCCACGCCTGCCAATCTCATCGGCATCTAGTACTGCGTCTTCTTCGGGCGCATCAGCTGCAAGAGCTGAGGGGTTGCGAAGGTCGAAGCGGGGCTTCTTGTGCTCTGAGGAATCTTCGCCGCCGTCATTGTAGTTGGTACTGGCAAAATCTTCACCTGCTCGCTTGGGGCGCAGAAATGAGCTGGACATGACGCTTTCGTTGGGAATCTCGGTTGAAAATAAATGAGAAAGACAACGTTGCGCAGAGCCAAAAGGTAAATCACCTCCGAGAGAGCTGATTTCCTTGTCTGGGTCGGAGCGGAAAATCATGGTGGAGCGAGCTGCGTCACTGACAGCGATCCAAAGAACAGCACATTGTACCTCAAATAAACCCGGTCTCACTGACACCTCTCTCTTTACCCATCTTTAGTCTTTCAAATTCAAAGAATCTGATATGGTGAGCCAACTTGAACTCTCCATCTCCCCTCGCAATCTTCAAGCTCCTAACTAACAGCTGTAGTATCGACCTGGTTACTGGTCGGACGACCCCATGGAGGGAATCCTAGGTGCCGGCATGCCACGTCCGGGCGCAACGTCCCGTCGCTTCGATGAATACTATCGCTGCTATCCAGTGGCGATGCTTCCTGGTCCTGAAAGAGAGAATGTGAACCATGGTGGCAAGGTCATCATGCCTCCCAGTGCATTGGACAAGCTTACCAGACTTCACATTACCTATCCGATGATGTTCGAGCTCCACAATGGTGCGAGAGAGAGGATGACACATGCGGGTGTCCTGGAGTTCATTGCTGAAGAAGGAAAAATCTATTTGCCATTCTGGGTGAGTAAGACATAGTCCTCAATGTGTTGTGACTGTACTAAGACTCGGTTCTCTACAGCTGATGCAAACATTACTACTGGAACCCGGCGACCTTCTTCAAATCAAATCGACAGACCTCCCTCCTGGCCAGTTTATCAAACTCCAAGCACAGTCAACCTCCTTCCTCGATATTAGTGACCCAAAAGCTGTGCTAGAAAACGCCTTCCGGAATTTCTCATGCCTTTCCAAAGGCGACGTCTTCACTTTTTCATACAACGATCAAGTATATGAGATGGCAGTGCTGGAGACAAAACCCTCTGGGACTAAGAATGCTGTGTCTGTTCTAGAAACCGACTTGGAGGTCGATTTCGCCGCCCCGGTTGGATTCGAAGAACCACAGCGGCCTAGCGGGACCAGCACGCCAGGTAGCGTCATTAGCGGTGGAAAGCTTCCAGCTGGTGGACTATTGCACCCCCATGGCACCATGGCACAATCGATCAACTACCCCGCCATTGCCCCCGAGGCCACCGATGCCGCCACAGGTGCCCGTGCGGCATCATCCAACTTCTTGTCTGCCGGACAACGTCTGAACGCTAAAAAGGGCAGCAAGCCTCCGACTCCTAACCCTTCTACTCCTACTTCAGGTGCTGTAAAATCTTCACATCCGCCTCCAACCCGAAGAGTCAACGGCCCGCAACCACTTCGACTCCCACCTAATCAACTCTTCTTCGGGTATGCAATCAAACCTGTCAAAACCCGTGATGAGAATGGTCTAGTTGTCCCGGATGGCCAGCCCAAGTTCCAAGGAATTGGACAAACTTTGCGTGGAAAGCGAAAGGATCTGTCCGATTCTGCCACCCCCTCCGGAAGTGAGGCTGAAAGCCAAAAAAAGGATAACACTAAAAAGTCCGACGGCGGTGGTCGAACTTTGGGGAAGCGTTAATGTCTCAACGATCTATTTAAACCTACACTTTCATGATTCTCCTGGCCTTTTAGATAGTGGAATCTCTAGATTCCGCGGCGGGATTTCCTTCGAGGGCATAGCAAGGTTCAACATGGCGTCTGGGGAGTCCTTTACTTTCACTTGAATACATAGAAGGCCTTGCAATAAACCTCACTATCTTCCTATTTCTCGTAGATCTTCCAGTCTCCACGTTCTAGTTTTGGTTTTCAAGCCATTGTTATTCTTTTGCAGTTCTTTTAACTCCAAATCTCGTGATCTCGGAGACTTTTGCAACACTTCAAGGGTTGAGGATTTCTCGTGTCCTTCGGAACGATCAAACATCGGGTACATATCTTTGCACATGAATTCACTAGCAGGTAAGTCATGCTCGCGGTCAGAGACGGCATCGTATAGTTCGGCTAGTGCGCACGGCTCTTGGCAAGCTGAGGATCGCCGGCCACAGGCCTGAAACTGGACCACACTATTGATATCTCACCAGATGCTCAGGGCTGCATCATGGCCACAATAGCTTTACCCCCTTTGGCAGCATTCATCAGACTGGCCCCCTCAGTCTATCTCCAAGACCCGCCCAACCCAAGCGAGAACGCGGATCGACCAGTGATATTCATTGCTTTTTGGATGAATGCACCCCCGCGCGCCCTAGCAAAATATGTGGTCGAATACAGACGGCTAGTCCCGTCAGCACGAATTGTTTTCGTCAGAAGCTCATCAAGTGACTTCATCTGGCGCCTAAGGGCCCAGACCCGGAGAGCCCGCGTCGCCCCAGCCGTGGAAGCAATGCGGGGTCTAGTGACCCCTGAGAATCCAGTATTTGTGCATTCCTTCTCAAATGGAGGCATGTCAAGCACGATACACCTATTGCAAGCCTGGAAGAATGCGACGGGGACCCCATTGCCCATGTCGGCAATGATCCTAGATAGCGCACCGGGCAGTCCGAGCCTACGAGCGGGACTCAAGGCTTTCTCCTTTGCGCTTCCGCGGATGTGGATCTTGCGCCTTCTTGGCAAAAGCTTGCTTTTTGCTTTCTTGGTCCTCTTCAAGTTGATCCATTCCTTTCCTATGTTTTCGGATCCTATCTCCCTTGCCCGGAAGCTCATCAATGATACCTCTTTGGTGCGAGCGGCTAACCGGGACGGGACTTTCCGTCGTTGTTATATCTACTCAGATACGGATGAATTGGTGGACTGGCGCGATGTGGAATCTCACGCCGTGGACACCGAGGCTGAGGGTTGGGCGGTGCGCCGTGAACTGTTTAAGAACTCACCTCATGTTGGACATATGAGAGCCGAGCCGGATCGGTATTGGGGCATTGTTCGAGAGTACTTGGGAGCTTTGGCTTAGAGGGAAGACTACAGTGTCATATAGACATGATGCTGTACGACAATCATGCATATCTGCTTGCCTCCGTGCATAGATACTTTTTCACTTCTTCAACTCTTAGTCTTCTGTCCATGGTTACATACCTACATATGTAGCTAGGAAGGAACGGGAATTTGCTTCCATCGAACTTTTGAAGGTTCTTGTTTTATCCACACCTCGAAGTTTCGCAATTCCGTGGTCATTGGTGTTGAATCACTATGACTGATATCAATATCACCTGGTCATATGCCGATTTGTTAGAGCCGAGGGGCTAAAAGGCCCGGAGCCAAGTTCCGCAAGCTCCCGTCTGAAGGGAATCAACCATTGCGATATAACCTGGAATCCAAGACGACGACACCCCTGCATCATTACTTTGGTCCTCGTTTTAAGTGTCCGCGGCTTGGTTTGTTCCAGTATTTTCCCTTTCCAATCTCACATATTTTGATCCTTGTGTCTGATATTGTGCAGGCCATTACAAGATAGACCT